TATGACACAGGGAAGCAGGGCCAGGTGACCCTCAAGCCCTGAGCCTGGGCTGTGATGTTGCCCTGAGGGACAGTGGCTAAGCGGTGAGTTGCTGCCAACAACAGCAGACCTGTAGTGTGCTGGCCTGAGGACTGGGGGCTCTATATTCTGAATGAACTGAGGTACATCATCCCTCACTCAGGGCAGTGCCGAGCAGGAGCCAGGTAAGGCCCACTGCAGCCAGCTGGGCAAATGCAAGTAAGGGGAAGGCTGTGGCCAGCTCATAATCCTCTCCTACATGCCCGGCTTCCCAAGGGGGATACTGAGAATGGAAGGGCAGGAGAAACTGCCAGTGGTAGGCTGGGTACCTGAAAGCAGGAGGGGCACATGGTGATGGAGGCATCGGGGAGCAGCGAGCGGAAGTACTGCCATTGCAGTGGCGGGGGCCAGCGCTTGATGAGAACATCCCTTCGGCTCATGGAACGTAGCACTGATCGGTTCACCACCACAGGCACGAACTCAGAGCCACCTTGCTGTGAGGAAGATGTACGTGGGTGCTATGCCCTTGGCCTGATCCTAGGATCCTTGGTGATCAAAGGGACACCAACTCCAGGCAGCCCTGACAGTGACATGCTCCTCATGCCAGCACTGAAGTAGCCTCGGAATCACCCAGTCACCACAGGAAGCTGTCCAGTTCTCTTTCCCACTGCCATGTCTGAAGTTGTAGCTGACTGCCACACTAACTGAGGTCCCTGTGTGCCTGGGGAAAAGGACTGATGGCTCTCCCCCAGGCATCTCAACACCCTCCCACTCTTGAGGTGTCTCACCTCAAAGCTCAGCTTGGCTGTGAACGGGTCATCATCACCTAAGGAGTCCATGGTCTCATCCAGCTTCAGCATCTGTGAATCTGGAGGGTTCTGGTCAAGGATGAAACTGAGGGCCCAGTGAGGCACAGGCACCACCCTCCAGCCACCTATTCACTCCCAGAAAAGAGCTCAGCCAGGTCTTACCTCTCTCACAGACTTGGGGAGAATGGTTCAGTGGCTGGGAGAGGTCCCCAGGTGGAAGATGGGGAGGAGGGCACAGGCCAGAGGAGAAGGGGCCCCATGGGATCATCTGCTTCCCTACCCTCTAGTCACAACCAGGGCTCACAGGGAGTGGCCATTCAAGGGCCCTGAGTAGGTGGAGACCATTGGCCCAGCTGCAGCTCAGGAAACTCAGCAGTCACAGCCATGGAAAGAAGGGCGAAAACTCTTAGAGAACCCAGTCCTACCAGCCTTCCCTCTACCCAGTGGTGATGGAGCTGGTATAAGGCATAGGTAGGAGGGCCTCATGTCGGGATTAGGTGAGTGTGGCCAACTGTTCCAGTGAGGAGCACCAAGGGTGCTGAAATACCTACAGGGGAGCAGCTGTCCTAGGGTCTCAGCCATACTACTGTTGGCCATCTCTGTAACTACCTAAGGACAAAGCACTTGGACAGCCGAACCAGGGGGACAGAGAGGCCTCCATGAGGATGGAGTGGACAGCCAGGAGCTTCAGCCTGAGTAGTGATTGCTACTATTGCATGAAAAAGCTAGCTGAGCCAAAAGCTGGAGGTCCCTCAAGCATACACACTATGCCTTCTGCTGAGCTATGGGCCAGATGCAGGATCAGGGCCTTCAGGAACAGGGTAGGGAGACCTCACAGGAACATAAAGGTGTCACCCTCCTTGTGCCTGCAGGCTCTGGCCAGCTCTCTGCCCATCTCTGATGTCAGTCCTTACTATGTGGGGATCTCATTCCTTCTGTCCCTGCCTGTTGGCACAGCCCAGACTGAGGCCCGCGCCCTGCCTGGCCCAGGCCTAGAGCACAGGATACTATTGCTCGCAACCTCCTGCCATTTGCTCTCCCTCTTGTGTCTTGGGGCCTCCAGGTCGATGAGGGCAACAGCTTCTTCATCAGTGATTCCCTCTTCTAGGTAGAATTCCACCAGGTGCAGTACCTCTGGAGGGACAGGGAGGGGCTGGGGGATGGCCAGAGCATGCCGTTTCCCCAGGCAGCCTGTCCACAGGTAAGTGGACAGTGCATGTGGGAGGAGGACCAGGCCCCCGTCTGCAGCCCCTCCCCACAGCCGCTGCTTTGAAGGAGAGGGCCAGGACAGCTCCTGCAGCCTCCTAGCCTGAACGATGGACCTCGGCTTGTCATCAGGATGAGAGTGGGGCTTCTGGCTGGGGACATCCTGGGCCCTGTCTCTGTGGATCCTGACAGCAATTCTGCATGTAAGGCATGGTGGCGTCACCTTATGCAGTGCCACGTGTCTTTTGGCAGCAGAGAGGCTCACCATAGGAAGAGGCGGAGAAGATAAAGGGCTGGCGGCAGTTGATACACACGTTGCCCAGGTTGTTCAGCAGCGGGTTGTTGGTGGAGCAGCGGTAGCACAAGGGTACCAGTTCCTACAAAACAAGCGCGTGTCTGCCCAGGCTGAAGCAGAGGTACACACATCCACTTCCCCCAGGGCAAAGGGCTGCATGCTGTGGGGAGGCTGGACAACTGACACTACCCCTGAGGCCCACTAACCCAGACACCTCCTCCAAGCCAGGCCTCAGCTTCATAGTTGTCTTCATAGGAACAACTGTAACCACTGTCACTTCCTGCCACTCACCAGGCTCGAGGCACTGTGGCAGGCACATCACTTATGCTGCACAGTGGCCTCCTACCACCTGTAGAGGTTTATAGACACCCACCTGACAGAGCAGTAAACTAAAGCACGGCTAGGAAGCAGAAGACCTAGGATTTGAACCCTGTCCTAGTGATAAGTCCCTCCTCTGAGCTTAAAATCAGGACTATATAGATCTGGGTTGTTGCAGCGGCAGGAGATTTGTTGGGATGGGGACTGGAAGAGCACAGGGACACCTAGGAAAAGGGTCGGGCCTGAGCAAGGCTTGAGGGAAGAGACAATCTCTGTGCACAGAGGGGCTGTGACAGGGCTCCAGGTCAGGATGGGTTGGAGCACAGCAGGCTGAGTGGGGAGCAGAGGTCAGAGGGCAGCTAAGCAGGAGGGGGAGCCAGCCCACAGGCAGGGGAGTCCTGAGAACACAATAGCCATTTCAAACAGACCCCAGACCAGACTCAAAGGCAAGCTCTCACCTCGCTGTCATGGAAAGGCTTGGAGCGGATGGTCAGGGTGCCCAGCTCAATGGACTTCTGGATCCTGGCGGGGATCTGCAGCCCCCGTAGCTTGTCATAGGCATGCCGGGCCAGCTTGTAGGCACCCAGGGCCTTGCTCTGCTTGGCCAGTGTGAAGAGGGTATTCCTGCCATTGGCAAGGTTAAGGACAGCCGAGGTGTGACTAGGAGCCAACCCTGCCCACCCTGGGCTAAAAAGCATCTTATGCTGGTATCAGACCATAGGCCGGGACTGAAGGGATATTTGTTCATTTTGAGATCTGTGTCTCTAGGATGGCAAGGCCCAGGAATCTTTCCAGAGACAAAGGGATACAGGGTCTTTTGGGGCCTCTTTTTTTTTTGGGGGGGGGAGGGCAGGCATCATGGTCTCAGTTTGTAGCCTAGGCCAGCCACAATCTTTTGGTGCTGACATAACAGCCATAACCTGACTTAAGATTCTTTGGGCCTCCTCTCCTATAGTTTTCCCTGCCTTGTTGCACCTGCCAACCCAGATCCAGGACACCTGGCACCAGGTGTTCTCCTGCCCTAGCCCTACCAGCTGGTGTAGACTGGCTCACTGAAGACTCCCCTGCTCTCTGGGGTCCCTCTGAGCTCCTCATCTAAGGACAACAAACCTCTGTATACCACACGAGGTCACCTGCAATTCAGGCTGTCCCCAAGCCCTTCTCTTCCTCCCTGCCTCCCTGGAAAGCAGCTTGTCCCTGGCATCCCAAGTGGCATGGCCCTCCCTCTCCTTCCTCAGTGTGACCTCTCTCACATGGCTCCAGCAACTGTGCTGGTGAGTCTCTAACTCCTCCATGTCATGGACCACATCAGCAGCACTTCTGTGTTTCCACTGGACAACACCAGGGAAGGCTCAGCATTCAAGTCAACCAAGATGCTCAACAATACAACTTTCATGACAGAGGGTAGCAGGGATGGCTGTGGCACTCCTTTGGTGAGCCTGACCTGCTGCTGAAAGGAGTTACCACAGTGAAGGCCACTTGTTTGGGACATTTCCCCTAAAGAGTAAACAATGAGTCTGGACCCTCCAGGAAATGAGTTAGTGTGAGCTGAGGGTGCTTTTCTGGGAGGGGTTCAACAGGAGGCAGGCAGACAAGCCGGATGGGGACAGGGAAACGGCTTGTGAAAGGTTGGATCATTTCCCCTCTGTGCTTCTGGCCCTTCTGTAGCTCCTTGGCAGGGGAAAAGTAGACTCACAGGGACTCACAGCACCCCGCACAGGAGCTGGGCTTCTCCACACCTACCTCATGGGGTCTCTCGATAGTCTTCCCCACTGCCTTAGTCTGGAGCACGGAGGTCACCTCGTCTGGGCAGCCGTCCCTGACTAGACCCAACCTTACCTCCGTTTTTTACTCCCAGGCACAGTATACATATCTCTGAAGCTCCTACTAGATGGCAGCTTTGTCACCTGGGCTGACATGGCCCCCAGCAGATTCTGGCAGAAGGCCTGCCTGGGCTTCCTGGTCCCCGTGTCACCATTCTTTGTGAGTTCTGGGAGGCCTGGGACAAGGTGCTGTCCAGATTGCAGGCCGGGGGGCAACTAGACTGTCCTGAAAGCTAATCTCCCCTTGGCACTGGCCGCTTGGCTGCCCAGCTGAGCCTCTCCCTACTGCCCAGTGGCTGCTGAGAGGGCGCTTCTGCCAGTAAAGTGCTCTGTGGAGAACCAGGGCCATTAGACAGTGGGCCAGGAGGGTAGCGGGGGAGGATACACTTTCGAGATGCCCAAGGGGGTGGCTTTGGTCAGGCTGTGCAGCAAAAACTTGGAGATGTTGAAGAGGGTTTCGGGGAGGTCAAAGCTGAACGGCTCCTCCTACAGCAGAAGAAAGGACATAACATTCCCCACTGGAGGGAGGGGCACTCTGAGCACCTACTGTGTGCTGGCATGACAGCTGGGCCCACTAGCCTGTAACACAGACAGACCAGGGAGAGAAGTGATAGTCCATGTCACTCACCAGAATGGGACAGAGGTGAGATTCAAACCCAGGGCTTATCCCCACAACCCTAGAGAATGTGCTTCTCACAGCTGCAGTGTCCCTGGGATGCTCCATTTGCTAAGCTTGAGGCCTCTGTAGGAGTGAGGACATGACCTAGTGGAGCACTTAACCCCTTCCTGCAGGACAAAGCAAGCCTCTTCCTTGTTCCTCAATGGCTGCCGATACAAAATGTGCCACCAAATGCACACGACACCCAGGCTGGCCCAGGCTCTCACAGGTGGTCTCCACCACCACTGGTGGAATGAACAGACCTACTGCACCCAGGGGCTTCCAGAAGTATGACCAAGCCCATCAGGGAAGGATCTATCCACAGGGCTTGTTTGTGACGAGGACTTGTTTTGGGGGAGTCTGACACTGCCATCAGGCTACAGGTGCAAACCTCACTTCAGATATGGACGGGCTGACCAGCTCCCTCCCACCCAGAGCTCTCCCTAAGGGTCTGGCCAGGCTCTCGAATAACAGCCACCAGACTTGGCCCTGGGGAGGCTCAAAGCTGTGAGAAGTGACTTTCTACTTTGGTTCAGAGCCCAGCGACTTCTCTCCAGCGACTTCTCCTGAACTCCTAATTACATTTTTTTCCTCCTCCTCTTCCTTTTTGTTTGTTTCTATTTTGAGAAAAGGTCTTTAGCTGAGGTTAGCTGTAGCCTCCTTATGTAGCCAAGGGTGATCTTCCTCACTCCACCTCCTGAGGGCTGCCATGTGCTACCATGCTGCCTTACGCACTTCTGCAGCTTCTGTTGGCCCCAGGAATGGAGGGAAACCTGAGACACATGCTCTCCTGGGTGTGAGCTTGAGGACTCCAGGCACTAGGGAAGCAAGCGTCCAGATCGCCACTGCTTCTCTGGGAAAGAAGCCCTGAGCCCCTAGAAGGGTCTGTGTTTCTCTTTGCTGTCTTACAATAATCCATTCTCACTCAGGGCTGCATGGCCCAGTGCCAAATCTTCAACTGCCCTGGTCTCTGCCTGCCTGCCACAAATCCTTTTCCCTCCTCTTCTTCACTTGTCCCTCTCCTTGGTGGACGGACCACCTCTTCAAAAAAGCCACCTCAGAGTTTTTCCCTTCAGGGCTGTCCCACTTACTACACTGTGAGTTCCTTATGGCAGGGACTATGTCTTGCTCACCACTGTGTTCCAGGCCTCATCACAGGGACTGTGACACACTGGCACTGGTTGAAGGAATAGCCCAAGAAAGCAGCTTTGGCCTGGAGGCCAGCCTGAGTCCCAAGGGTGGACCTAGCTCAGCACTGTGTGCATCAGAAACAGAGCTCAGCTGTTACGTGAGGCGACTCTTGCACAGACACATAGAGCAGGGAGAAGCAGGCAAGCTGGGAACTCAGAAGCCAAGGGCTAGGCACCCAAGGCAGCTTAGCATGCCCGACCCTGGTCTGCCTCCAACCCCAAGCTGTGTGCAAGCTCCTTTTTCCGTAGCTTTTCAGTTGCTTGGGACAAGGGGCTAAATGGAAGACTAGTCTGCTTGAGCCCACAGATGCTACTGGCAAAGAGATGGCACAGGGCTATGGATAGGCCCAGTGAGATCTAATGCTTCCCAGAGACTAGGACAGGGCAGAGAGGAATGCAGACAAAGGGCAGGGGCACCTGGGGAAGGCAGGGCCTCTGAGAGGCCAGGGAGCTGACACTGAACTGAAATGAGTAGGCTGTGAAAGCTGCTATGAAATTTCCACCCGAGGGATGAAGGGAACCAGAGCCACATTTGCAAAGTGAACTCATAGACATCCCATCCGTCTATCATCTCCATTTCATAGACATGGAAACTGAAGTACAGAGAAGGTGCAGGATGGGCCAAGGTCATTTTTCACGGTGGGACGTGTGGCATCCAGAGTCATCTTCTGAACCCACATCCTAGAGGCTGAGAGCACAGACTGCAGTCAGTAAGGACTCAAGCCCAGGCGCTGCCACTTACTAACTGTGGCTCCTCTCTGTGTGGAACCTGGGCTTTGCCATCTGCAGATGAGGGTGATGCACTTATGTCACAGTATGGGCGAAGGACAAAATGAATACTACAAGAGAGCCTACAGTATCCAACATATAGCAGTGTCCAACATATAGTGACTGACGGGGGTCACTGGCATAGCCCAGCTCGCTGCCACAGGATAAGCTCACACTGCGGGTTAATCAAGACTGGCATGCTAAGGGGACATGGGATGAGGCAGATGTGACTCATTTAACGTGCCCTCATCACAAGAGTCAGGGAATGATTCAGCCAATCGTGGGTCTCTGGAGATCAGGCCTCTCACTTTATAGAGGAGACTGAGGGCCAGAGAGAGAACTTTGAGCCTTTACTTATCTGGAGGCATCAGAGACTAACTAGAAACTGGAAAGACCTATCCCAGCCCTGGACTGTAATCCTGAGCCCCAAGGTTTGCTTCATGCCAGAAAAGTGGCGGGGGAGGGAGAAGCCCCTCTCTTCCCAGGGAGAACAGGGTTCTGGGCAGTTCATCACAGCTCCACAGGCACTGCTCTCCAGAGGCCCTTGCTGAGCATGTGAGGCCCAAAGGTGCCATCCCCCAGTCTCCTGACCATCTTACCGTATAGCGATGAATGGTTTGGTAGCCATGGTACAGCTCAGCCAGGTGCTGGAAATGGTGGAATTTGTCAAGCATCACATCCTTCTGGGCAGGATCTGCTGTGAGGGAGGAGGACAGGAGGGGGGCAGGGCAGGAGGAGAGAAGGGGAGGAGGACAGGAGGGGAGGAGGGAAGGAAGGAGAAATGTGTCAAACAGTATTAGGCTGCTCAGAGGGGCCAAGAGAGCAGTGATGGACAGGTGCTCTGCTTAGGAGTGGTACATCTAGGATGATGATAACAGTCTCAGCCAGGCAGAGCTCCTGGCCAGGAAGCACCTGATAACAGATCTCTCCCAGACCATACCCTGTACTTTCCCAGCGCTGTCCACTGGGCCAGCACCTGCTACGGCCAGCAGTGGAGGAAGGCTCCTGGCCCAGACACACCAAAGCAGCCTGGCAGGACAGGGTGGGCAGATGGTGTCTTCACTGGCTGTCTGTGTTCACGGTGCCCCTCTGCTTATCAGCTATTTATCTGAAGTGCACATCAAAGGCCAGGAAAGAAACCCCATCTCACACCTGGGCCTGATGGTTCTGACTGGGAGCTGACAGCTGTGACTCAGGGCGACCTGAGGGAAGGGACATGGGGCAGAGCAGTTAAGGAAGGCACTGTCGAGCTGCAGACTCTGTGTCCAGTGCTCTTCTCACTACTGCACACAGCCTTGGGCACAGCTATCTCCCTTCCCTGCACTCAGAAGTCCTCAGGGCACCATGGGAAGCCATGGGAATAAAAGCAACTCTGAAACTCTCCTTCTACCTGGGATGAAGGAGATTCTGGAGTGGGTTATTGTAAGGTGATCTCTTCATCTTTTCATTTAATTAAAAAAAATTTTTAAGCCAGGGCTCACACGGGCCCAGCTCCAGACTCCCAGGTAGCAATAGAGGGAGATGCTCTGAATTAGCAGCGCAGGGTGGGCCCTCCCACCCAGAAGACAGACTGCCAGCCAGCCCTACTTACAGGCAAACTTGAAAGAGATGGCAGGCCAGATTGTGCCACTGCAAGGCATGCCCAGGGACAGCACACTCAATAAACAAGCCCAGGGCTTTAATGAAATGGCCCTGCTCTTCTGATTTTATCTGGTGCCAGAGAAGGGCCAGGGAAGAGGCCAGCCGGCTGTCGCTCACTCACCTTGCGCCATGTCGAGGCACTGCATGGACAGCATCCAGTAATAATAGGCAGCATCGTTAAACCTGCTCTCCACCACAGCATTGTGTGTGAGCTGCTCCAACACACGGACTGCTTCCCCTTGCCTCCCGGCCTTGTGAAATGCTAGGGGACATAAAAGCATATGCATGTCATGGGGAGTCAGACATGAAGCAGGGGGATTGTGCAGGGCTTACATGAGGCTGCTTGGGAGGCAGGCCACTCTTTGGAGCATCTGTGGTGCCTCGTTGCTGAGATGCGCCTCTCAGGCCGCAGGCTATAAATAACTAAGGCTACATCCTGAAATAAGCACAGGGAGATACACTCTTTTTGGCTGGGAAATGGCAACCTACTTTAGCAAGGCATGGCAGAGAGAAAACCTGAGGCACCAAAGCCTGGCACTGCCCACAGGGAACTTGCCTCCACTCCACTCCAGAATGAGACACAGGACCCATGCTACTCTGAGGAGCTTGGTGGGTCACCAAACACCTCCACTGTTAACTACTGCATTAAATCCCCAGAACAAAATTCTAAAGAAGAAAACCAGCCCTTTCTAATGAAAATGATGGGCTTTGCCAGGTGGGGCAGAGCATCACACCCAAGGTCAGAGAAAGAAGCCATTCCAGTCCTGAGCCCATCTTAGCTGTGTGCTTTCAGATACCACCAACCTGGAAAGATCTGGCTCAGCTCACAAAACCAGACATTTGTGAAAACAAGTGAAGAATTTCTCAATCGTGCCTGTGTCTGCTTAACAGAAATTTCCTGGGCCCCTCACTACCATGCAGCCAACTTCTGGGGACCTGCAACTGCCAGACAAAGAGTAGGAGCTCTGACACCTGTGCACGTGTGGGCATCCTTATGACCCACATCCCCTGCCTGCAGAGAAGGAAAAGGTCTGGCCTTGGTTCATTCTCATCTCCCGTCTCTTGTCTGAGTACCAAGTTACTATGGCGATGGATTCTTGGAAGGGCGACACAGACAGATGGATAGGTTGATGTGTTTTGCCCAAACATGCAGATACTTCAGCAACTGGGTGCTCTGGAAATGCTGAGGCGTTAGAGAACATGCTGTCCTTCACAGGGGCTTTTAAACCAAGGAGCTCCAACAGGGGGACATTTGTTCTGCAGTGTGTCAGGAGGTGGCAACTGCTACCATATAGAAGTGTAAATGAGATGCTATGGAATACGACCCACCCACTTCAATTAGGAGACTCTCTAAACAGGCGTAAGAATTAGGCTCCCAGTTGGACAGATCCCGATCCAATTCCGGCTCTGCCGCTTGCTAGCTTCACACAGCACATGTAGCGTCTGCGTCGCGGCAGGGCCATTGGCAAGACTCAAGGTTATGCAGGTTAAGTGCCCAGCCAGCACCTGCCATAGTGAGGCAGTCACGTGGCTAACCGATGATGAACGTTATCAGTTAATGTGCCATACTTGCTTTGGCTTCTATTTCAGATGCCATCACACCCTGTGTACGGCTCATTTCACCAACAGAAACACCAAGGGGCAGAGAGGCTGCTTGGCCTGCCCGAGCCAGAATCAAAGTCCATTTCCATCTCAGTAGAGGAAAAGGCAGGTGAAACTATGCCCAACACCAAGGGCAGGTCTCTCCTTTGTCCTGCCCATGTATGCTTTGGCTCCTGACCTCTCTGCAACTTCCCAGGGAGTGAACCACAGGCAAATTCCTTTACCTCCTTCAACCTCAGTTCCCTTCCTCATCCACAAAATGTAAATAACACTGCTGCCCATACCAGAGAGCATCCTGAAGATTAAAGGGAAGGCACACTGGAATGCAGGTGCTACGCAAGGTTAACAGGAAACTGCTAGGACCTGGCTGGGGTCCTGAACAAGTAAGCAATGGGCTCAAGGGGTGTGGCTTCAACGTCCATGTCCTTGTTCTGAAGTCTTTCACAGCAAGCACATCATGAGCCAGGATGAAGGTACCCATCCTAGGACCTGCTGAGGGAGGGGCCAGGCAGCCTCCGTACTATGTCTCAGCAGCCTTCCTCACCCCTTCTCCACAGTGCAGTGTGTGTGGCCTACCTTTCTGGGCTTCCTCAAAGCGGTCGTTCTCCGCTAGCCACTGAGCATAGGGCACGTAGATGTCATCCTTGAACTCAGGGTGCTTCTCACCCAAAGCAAAGGCCTAGAGGGAGGAGTCGAGGCATTCTTAATGAAGCAGCCCCCGCAGCCACTGAAAATGTGGCACTTGGCTGAATCTGTTAGGGATGTCATATTTTGCCAGCCTGACAACTCGGAGGGGGAGAGTGTCTCCCCCTCCAACCACCCCCAGCAACACAAAAACAAAGCAGCTCTTTGAAAACAAAAGGCAATTAACGGCAATATGCAACCGACTGGATTCAATAACAACACAGTCTGTTTCTGGACCACAGAAGCAGCACAGAATCGGAAACATTTTATTTTGAGGGTTTGCGTGGGCTCCTGTAGCGCTGCAAACAGATTTCTTTTAATTGCAGGCGACACCTAAGGAAACAGGATTGACATTATCTTCATCACTGCTTACTAGCTGTCACAGAGGAGTGCGGACACGGTGTTGTATGGGACTTGGTGACTGCTTCATTAAAGTACTGAGCCACTTGCCAGGCCAGAAGAGCAGCAGAGGAGGCATGGGAGGGTCTAAGATGAGGAGCTAACTGCTGGCTGCTGGATAATGTTTATCTTGAGGAGCCATTCCTGCTTCCATCCCTGAACTGTTTTTCCTGTCTGTGGCCTGTCACCTCAGAAAGTAGAGCCACTGGGGGGAGGAAGGAGCAGACAGGAGGCAGGCTGCTCTTACTCAGGTAGTACCTTGCTATGACTGTAAGAGACTGTCATGGAGGTTGGACACCACTAATTCTCTCCAGGGCACAGGTAGAGAGGCTCTGCCCTTGCAGCCTAGCCAGCCTTGGCTCCAGGACGATGTCTCTCTGATTTGCCTGGCTGATTCTCCTCACTGGTCCTCTCACACCACAGGAGTCAAGACTAGGAAGAGGGATGAGGGAAGGGGACAGATGCCCTTGAAACAGCTCTGGTAGCCTGTATCTGAAAAATGTTGTTGGCATTTCCTGCCAAAATGCCACACAGGTTTTAAATGCCACCCTGGTGTATCCCTACTTTGGAGGGAGCCTGAGACTGTGGCACTGGTCAGAGATGGCTCAGACCAGCATCAGGCACTGGAGCTGTCACGCTGACCCTCGAAGCCGTAGTGCCTGTCACAGGGTTGGCCCAGAGCTGGCCACTAGATGAGGAGCTAACTGCTGGCTGCTGGATAATGTTTATCTTGAGGAGCCATTCCTGCTTCCATCCCTGAACTGTTTTGTAGTAACCCGTTAGTAACCCCTGTTAGTGGCTACTAACAATTTTCTGAATGAATGAATGAACGAATGAACAAATGGGAAGTTATGGTGAAAAGGCCCTCCAAGATATTCTGTCTCAGAGACTTTGAGGCAAAATCTGACTGCTAGGCAATGGCCCTTCTATCATGAGGGCAACTTCTCTCCATCTTAGCCCCCAGCTGCTCAGTACCCACTTGCTTGTGGCCAGACGCTCTGTTAGCATCCCAACGCCAGTAAGTGCACTCTCTCTCACCTCATCCCAGCGCTTGGTGTCCACATACAGCTGCACCAGAGACTTCAGGTCACCGACCTTTAGGTAGGTCTCAGCAGCATAGCCAGGACTGTCCAGCTTCTTAAAGTACCGAGCACACATGAGCAGGGGCTCCCGCTCAGCCTTGTCCAGCTTTCGAGCAATGTCAATCAACCTGGAAAGGGAGGGAGGACAACTGTGAGGGTCTGAGAGAGGAGGGCTCGAGAGGACTCTGGGACCCGCTCTGTGCGGGTTCATTCTGCTATGCCCATGCTGACAGTGGTCTAAACCCCTGGGAGGGGCTCCACAGGCAGTTATGAAAAGAATGGATTACACTCCAGAAGCAATGACAGGGCCCACAAGTGGCTGCCACTGCCCATACCTCACGTGCCTCCTACACCAGTGAGATCTGGGATCCACTGCCACATACTGAGAAGGCCCATGAGATCTTCAGGATGTGGTCTCACAGAATCATCTTTCCCGCCCTGAGAGGGAGGAATAAGCACTCCCCCTTTGCAGGTGAGATGGCTTGAGTTTGAACTACACAGATGGTAAATCACCCTGCCCAAGACTCCACAGCAGGAAGTGGCAGAGTGTTTGTTCCTGCACTGTCAGGAATTCCCACAGGAAGTAGCTGGGGGGCAGGAGAATGCCTCAGCAACTGACAGTCTGGAGGAAGAGACAAGTGTGAAGCCTGTCCTGGGCCAGAAGGGAGGTTAGAAGCCCTGGCTGTGTCCTCCTGGCTCATGTGTTGACCACAGGGAGGGTCCCTGAGGCCCAGTTACTCATAACTTCCCAGCAGTGACGGGTCCTCCTATGCCCATCAGGACACAGACTGGATTCAATACTTTTGGGGTCTAGGCAGCCCAGAGTTTGGAGTAAAGCAGCTCTCGTGATGAGGGCGCTACCCAGCCCGCTTTGTGTGAGAACAGAAGAGGCTCTAACAGACCGAATTTCAGACAGGCAGGCAGGCTCAGGGAGGCCTGTCAGTCTATGCTCAGAATAATAATGGCGTCTAAAAATAACACTCCTCAGCAGCAAAGGGACATGTTTTTAGGGAAAGGTAGAACAGGCAGCCCCCGGAGCCTGAAAGCCCCACCCACCAAACCGACATTCCCAGGAGAAAGGTGCCTGTTACAGCCAGACCCAAAAGAGGGACAGAACACACTAATGTCTCTTCCTTGAACTAGTTAAGTGTCCCCAGGGGAACTTAATACATAGCACTTGCAAATCAAAGTGACATATGAGAAACTAGTGGGGGAAGTGGAGACCATGAGCCTGCTTGGCTCCCATCAGCACCACCCATTTTGTAGTGAGAATACTTGGGGCACAGTCTAAGATCTAAGCCTGCGTCTTTCAGATACTATTCCTAGACAAAGGAAGGTTGGGGATAGGTTACCCACAAAGGTCCCTTGGTGAAAGGTCCACACACTAACCTGTCCTCCCAAGGGCCTGACTATGCCAATGGTGTCTATCTGTGGACCACAGGTAGGTGGTCCTCCTGAACAACCAGTAGCTTTTAGCATAGAGTCTTCTAACTGAGAGGGCACCTGGAGGATGGATGCCAAGTCCTAAGACAGAACCATCACGTGGCACACAACTGCAGCCCAGACAGTTCCCCCTCCTCCATTCCCTTGTATCTGGCTTCTATTCCTCTCTGTTCCAGCTCCTTTACTCTCCCTTGGGGCCTCAAGCCACCACAGTCCCTGCTGGCCTACCATGTCTCCTGACTATATTCCTTCCCCTCTAATTATCTCTACCTGAAAATTCAACAAGGCCACTTCACAGAACGACTCAAGAAAAGATGCCTTGGTTCCTCCCAGAGAGTCCACTTCCCTGATGGACAGAGGGCTCTTCTTGTGCATTCGGAACTCTCACGCTAAGTATTAGAGGTACTGAAACCACCCATGTCAGAGCCTAAATCTTAGCCTTGCGACTTCCCAGACACTTGGCCTTTGAGGACACATGAGTCCCTTGATTTCATTTGCCAGATGAATGTAAATACCAAGCTGGTGCAGGGGAGAGTCAGATGCCTGCAAGGTCAACCCGGCACCTGAGGGACATCTGTGTGTGCCCTGCTAGGTCCCTACTACCCACTTCTCATGCTCCACCAAGGCAGTGCTACCTTGTTCGGGCTCTTCATCTTCAGAGGACCTAGTCGCTTTCATGTTTGGTTCAGATATTTAGAGAAACAAATTTTCCCTTGTCAGTCAAAACTCAGAGTTGACACACTGCCAAGTGCTCACAGGCAGGGGCTGAAACCTACATGTCAACCCAGCCATGGCTGCCACTGATCTCTATGGCCTTAGTATGCTCCCCTGCTGAGATGTACATCTCTACCGCAGCTTTGGGCTCGTTGATGTTTCTAGCCCAGTCGGCCTGCTTGGTGATGAGCATCTTTGTTTCTTTAGGGTCTCCAGATCCAAGGAAATCCTGAGGAAGCACAACAAACAAAAACACTCCGGATTAGGACTTCCTGTGCCAGCATTACATCAGCTCCTGAAAGCAGAGCAGGGAAGGGCTCACTTGGCTGTGCACAGGAGCAGGATGCATGAGAACCCAGCCTTGTGTGACTGAGTGTGGGACAGTTCCAGGTGTCCAGGAAGGGACTGCTGCTGAGGCCACAGGGACCTTCATGTTTCCTTCCCTTCACACTTGCTCTAAACACCTTACAGACTCTGCAGGTTAGCCTGGGACCTCCACACAGTTTGATAGAAACATGACTGGCTGCAAAATTACAAATACTAGTCCTACAATCACTGGTCACACACTTTGGATGACACCAGATGCCCTAGACTAGTACTGAGCTCATGGTCCTCTAAAACACACAAGGATGCACAGAGTTCTGGGTCCAGGCCCTCGTGCCCCCCCTTGGCTGCCACATTGAAGTGCCATCCTCACCTCTTTCCTCAGCTGTTCTGTGGCCTGCACTCAGTTCACTCTGTTGGCTTTGTTCCTGGGATATGTCTATGACAGACAACTGGCAAAACACTCTTTCACTCATTCCTCCTCCTCTCTTTTTTTTTTTCAAACAGGGTCTCACTATGTAGCCCTGGCTGTCCTGGAACTTGCTCTGTAGCCTAGGCTGGCCTTATAGAGATCTGCCTGCCTCTGCCTCCCAGTGCTGCTCAGTGGTTCATTTCTTAATGAAGTGACACCAGATCTTGTCTTGAGGTCAGGTCTGCACAAGAAGGAATGTGATCCACGGAGGGACAGCAGAAGCCGAAGATTAAGGGATAGTCACTCATTCCTGAAGGTCCAGAGACTGGGCAGGGCCTGAGTTCCTTTTATCCCAATTAGGGGAAAAGGGAGTCCCTGAGGGCCATGACCAGCTTCCCTGTGTTATCCCAAATGTAGCAGAAACAGCTTCAGAATGTCACCGCTTTTCAGGACAGAGCTGCCATGGTTGAAACTGCCTCAGTGCTGACATTTTTCAAGGCGGGGCTTCTCAGAATGGGGAACTGAGGCGTACAGCTCAGATCTGCATTACTAGAGAGAAGTGGTTTGTCTTAAGAGACTGTACCTTGCAGAGTGCTCTGTGTCAACCTCATAAAGTATAAAAAAAAGCACTCCTTTCCTCGAGATTAACATTCATTTGTCAGGAAAGTACAGTCAATGTATGCTGAAACCCACTTGAACAATTAGCTCATTTCTTTTTCCATTTGCTTTCAGGGTAATTATGTAGCCCCTAAAACCATATATTAGGTTGGCCTAAGACAACCAAATAATTCAGGAAGGGGAGGAAGGGCAACATTTTACCTGTTACAGGCCAAATAAAGTCAGGGTCACCTGGAGCTGGCCTCTGCCTCCCCTTAGGGCACACAGAGAAAGGGCTAGGGACAGCCACTGAGGACACCTGGCTTGGGTCATTACAGAAACACTTTCCTCGAAGTTATGACATCAACTCTTCGTGTACACAAAGCTTTCCTGCTCAGCTAGTTGCATGAAGTTAGCAGCAGAGATGGGCAGAATAAAAGCACAGAAGTGTCCTTCAGAGGGACTTTGGCAAGTGAGATGACAAAGGGAAAGACCCAAAACTACAAGACCACAGTGTGAGGTGGCTCCCCAGGGGAGACTGAAGGCTCACAGCTCACTGGCTGGCCAAGACCTCCCTGACAGGAGGCAACCTCTTCAATCCCAGCAGTCATCTCAGAGGCTGTGACTTAATTCAAGCTGAGCCTAAATAGTTCCTCCAAAGCTCAACCAAGTGGGTTTTCAAAGGTTTTTTGGTTCCATGAAGCCAATTTACACGTTATCTGGGGCCACAGCAAAGATTCTGTCCTGGAGAGGACAGAAAGAGGCCGTGCTGAGTGATGAATGAGACTGAACAGGGTTCTCATGCTTGGTGCTTCTGATAAGGACGCACTACACAAGAGTTAAGAGCACTATAATCCCTTTATCACCACATAAACATGTCACTTGTCCGGAAAGCATACAATTTATTTGTACGTGGGAATGCAATTTAAAAATTTTCCAAAAACCAGATTGAATCTTGGGAAGCAATTTTCGAGTAAACAAAAACATGCCATGTTAATAAGCACTGTATCTCCCACCCCCAACATAATGTGTGTGTGCACACATTTCCCAAATGCAGACTACTATGTCAGGGTGGTGTGTGTGTGTGTGTGTGTGTGTGTGTGTGTGTGTGTGTTTGAGATGGAACCAACATACTCAGGATTGTGATCAAAAATTAAAGTCAAAACAAGCCCAGAGTATTTACCTTCGTGGAGAGCCACACCAGATGGAGTGTGTGAACGGCTGCACTGCTGGGTGGGAGCCGTGAGTGCAGGAAGTGCAGGCGAGCCATGGGAAGGAGCCCCTTGGGAGGAGGGCAGCCAGAGAGACACCGCCCCTGGAGTCATCTCCTAATCTTTTTATGTCGTGTGTGCCCTGCATGGAATGTGAGATGGAACCAAGGTCTGTCTCTCTTATGCTAAGTACTTGCTCTACCACTAAGGCACATTCTGGGTGTGGACTTTTATTTCAATCTCAACATAGCACTCTCTCTTCTTTCTTTTCTTTTCTTTTCCTTCCTTTCCCTTTCTTTCTCTTTCTTTCTTTCTTTCTTTCTTTCTTTCTTTCTTTCTTTCTTCCTTTCTTTCTTCCTGACAGAGTGTGTCATGTAGTCCTGGATGTCCTGGAACTGGCTCTGTAGACCAGGCTGGCCTCCAACTCACAGAGATCTGCCTGTCTCTGTCTTAAGTCTGGCATTAAAGGCATGCGCCACCACGCCTGACTATTCCTCTTTCTACAGCTCAGCATGTTAGGGTTTTATGCATTGTTATGTGCAATTGTCAGAATTACACTGAGCTATAGCTCTGCTATGCTTTGAGAAAGAAGCAAAGTCTGAACTGCGTGAGTCTTCACCGCTAGAGACTGTGTACTCCATAATCATACTGCACTCTGGATGCCAAGCAGGCATTTCAGCTGCACCATAGTTGCCCACCAGCAGCTCCAAGGAGGGCATCAGTCCTAAAGAACCACCAGGGCTGGCTGGCCATGGTGCCTAAATTCTACCCCTAGGACCTATCCCTTTTAAGTTTAATGCTTTCTCCCCAGTGAAAAGAGCATTCCATGTAATCCTGGGTATGTATGGGAAGGAACATAGAGGCTAAGGAAGATGAAAAGACCTGAAGCCCAGATCTGAGTTGTGAAGGAGGGAGCACCAGGAGTGGCCTAGGGGTTCATCTCTGTATGAAGGAGTCACTGGATCTAACAGATGGCTAGGAAAAGAAACCAACAGTGGTTAGGCACAGACACAGAGTCATCCTAATTGGGGCTGGTGAGCTAGGTGATTAGCACTGACAGCCACTGAATGGCTGTGGCTAGGACTTGAGGACTCCATTGGCTTTTGAGAGCCTCTTCTGCCAGTGCCCAGAAAGAAGAGATACAAAAGCTCCACACCCAGGCTTTAAGTCTTGCTGGAGGCTGAGCTGCTGACTCCTGGAGGGCTCTGGCTCTTAGTGGGGGCTCATTCTCACATAGGTCCATGTGCCTAGGAAGCACCTTCAAAAGTCTAGAGAACCTCAGTGTAGGGGAACCTTTAGCCAGCCCCCAAGCAGGCCTGGCTACAGGTTCCCCTACACCTCAAGACTGACCTTGAGGTAGGACCTGTGGTAGGTCAAGGTGGCTCCTGACTCAGATTTGAAGGAATCTGTAGACTGTCCTGAGCTCTCAGTGCCTGGTAGCAGCACAGCTGTTGCTGACAGGTACCTTGAAGTCCCTCTGAGATCTTCCTCCAGGGTCAGCTTTCAGTCCATTTCAACCAGTAGCCCTGAAGGTCCCTCTTTTATTAACTTACCCACCCTTTTTCTGAGGTGACCCCCTTTTCTGTCTGCATCATTGCTTGGACACATGACCTGAGACACCACAGGTAAGAGCCTTGGGAACTCCTGTTGGCAGGCTGGGCCCAGGATGTGGTGGGTTTACCTTGGCGTACTCGAACATGCAGAGGTCAGTGTACATGTCGAGTGCGAGGTTCTCGTGTCCGCTCCTCTTGTACAGTTTGGCAGCTTCGTGGAACTTCCCCTGGTAGGAAAACACATCTGCCAGAAACAGGTCATTGTTGCTCTCTCCCCGCTTCTTCCTCTCCTGGAAAAATTAGAAGCATGGGAAATGGTTTCCACAGCCATGGCAGGAAGCAGCCTGTACAAAGGCTAGCTGCTGCTATTTTGGGCTAAGCCCCTGGGTCTTCCTACTGGAGCCCATGCTTGGCTCCTGGGCTGCTGTGTCTCTCACCTATGTCTCTCTGGGGGATGTTCAACAACAAAAGCAGACTCTTTTGTCAGACCACTGAAGATCAAACAAGAGGCGAACCTTTGTTTGCTCAGTGGAAATTCCACAGGACTGCTTTCCTGGATGCTTGCCCAAGGCAACCACAGGATAGCTTGGACAGTGTGCACTTCCAGCTGGGGATGGCCCTTACATTCCCCAAACCTCCCAAGGCCCCAGACACCTGTGTGGCAGAGTGATGACAGACAAGGACAAAGTTTGGTATTTTCAACCAAAATGGAGGCCATAACGTAGGATCATAAATCTGGCTATGCTCCTGTTTCTAAGAGAAGAGGAAACACTCTATGTGTTGGCTGGTTTTATGTCAACTTGCCCCAAGCTCCTCAGTTGAGAAAATGACCCCAGCCAGGTGTGAAGGCCTGCACCTTTAATCCTAGCACTTGGGAGGCAGAGGTTGGCAGCTCTGTGAGTTTGAGGCCAGCCTGATCTACAAAGTGAGTCTAGGACAGCTAGGGAAACCCTGCTCAAAAAAAAAAAAAACAAAAAAACAAAACAAAAAAACAGAAAATAAGAAAGAAAAAGTGACACCACCAGATTGGCTTGTAGGCAAGCCTGGGGTGTTCTCTTGACTGGTGTGTGTGTGTGGGGGGGGGGGGAATCTGGCTCACTGAGGTGTTTTCTTGACTGATGTGGGGCGGGGGAGATCCGGCTCACTGGGGTGTTCTCTTGACTAGTATGTGTGTGTGTTGGGGGGAGATACGGCTCACTGGGAGTGTTTTCTTGACTCGTGTGTGTCTGTGTGTGTGTGTGTGTGTGCTGGGGGAGGTCCGGCTCACTGTGGGTGGTGCCACCCCAGGGCTGGTATTCCTGGGTGCTATAAGAAAGCAGGCTAAGAGCATGGCGATGGGGGCACATGCCCTTAATCCCAGCACTCGGGAGGCAGAGACAGGAGGATCTCTATAAATTGGAGGCCAGCCTGGTCTACAGAGCAAGTTCCAGGACAGCCAAGGCTGAAAAAAAAAAAAAAAAAAGAAAGACCAAAATAAGAAAGAAAGAAAGAAAGAAAGAAAGAAAGAAAGAAAAAGAAAGAGAGAGAGGGAGGGAGGGAGGGAGGGAGGGAGGAGAAAGAAAGAAAGAAAGAAAGAAAGGAAGAAAGAAAGAAAGAAAGAAAGAAAGAAAGAAAGGAAGGAAAGAAAGAAACCAGGCTGAGCAAGCCATAAGAAGCAAGCTGGTAAGCAGCATCCTTTACAGCCTTTGTCTCAGCTCCTATCACCAGGCTCCTGCCCTGCTTCTCTCAGTGATGGGCTGTGATGTGGAGCTGTAATCGGAAATAAACCAGGTCCTTTCCAAGTTGCTTTTGTTTAGGAACTTATCAGAGCAACAGAACCCTAACTAAGACACTGTGTGCTCATGTCCATGTCATACAGGAGACCTCTACTGCTCTCAGTGACCCCAGCACCACCAACCACTGCACAGTCAAGGTCACACAAAGCTCGCTCTTCATGTCCCATGATCCCACCTTCTGAAACAAAGGATGATCCCTAACACATACACCTGTGTGAACATACATGTGTACATGCGAGAGCAATGCTGAAGACAAGAGAAGCACCCGCACACACTTTGCCTGTGTCGGGAACTCTCATTAGTCTACAGCTCCAGTATCTGTAAACACTTGCCAGCACTCAGTCCCTCAGCCCCAGCAGTTGCCTTTTGCTTGTTTTCTATCAAGAGGATCACACTGGAGGAAGATGAGACACAGAATCAAACTCCTAGACAAGCTGGTGGAAGTCTCAGCAGCTGGAGACAACATGCCTCACTAGTGACAGAAATAATTTTTAAACCTTCACATAGTGCAGGCTAATCAACCAAATAAGCCAACATTTTTTCCGTTTTTTTTTTTTTGTTTTTTTTTTTTTTTCTCTCCCCCGAGACACGGTTTCTCTGTGTAGCTTTGTAGACCAGGCTGTCCTCATAAGTGGGACTGTCACCATGAGCAGATTATTCTGCCACCATGCTATCATGCCAGTTATTCAACAGGAACCCTCTGAGGCACACAGCTCCCTGGTTAATGCTGGCCACCTGGAAGCCAGAAGCCGAGGCCTCAGGACAGTCACAAGGGATTAGTTGAGCACACTCTGCTTTTCCCTGAGACGGTGCCATTAGCACAGTCCTCAGATCACTAGCAGGGGCAGACCTTTGGAACTGAGTAAGACATGACAAGGGATAAGATCAGAGCTCACAGAGGCCAGCTACTTTTGAGCAAAGAAAAGTGAGGTTCTGTGGCTTTGGATGAAGATTCCAAGGGCCCAGTTGGCAACACCAAGCACCCGCCCTGAGAGACAGCAGCCGGGGACAACGGCACCCAACCAGCCCTTGCCCACCTGTGTGGGAAGACACTGACAATAGATGACCTGGTGGACAAGGAGGTAGGGAGGGCTCACAAAGTAAAAGCGGCAGAGCTTAAGGAAAAGTGGGGACTAAGTCTGAGTTTCAACTGAGAATTTGAATATGGCCCTCGAGGATATGCCCCATCCTCTCCTAACTTTCCTTTCCTCACCCACAGAACAGGGTTGATCACAACAGCACCTGCCTCATCACACTATGGATCTTGTGCATTGTAGGTCATACTTCGGTTGCACACGAATAGACTGGATATTATAGCCTCCCCTTGTCTCAGCTCTATTTGCTGGTCCCCCCACACAAGGCTGGGTCCTGCACAAGGCTGGGTCCTGCACAAGGCTGGGTCCAACACAAAGCTGGTTCCTGCACAAGGCTGGGTCCTGCACAAGGCTGAGGCCCACGACAAGTGTTTACTCTGCTGAACTGAGTTAGAGGGGCAAGACATTTGCAATTTCCTTACTGCTTCCAACTGAGAGCTCAAATGTGTCTCACATTCCCTTAGCCTTACAATAAATCTGTTCAGGAGAAAAAAATATGTATGCCTTTTTACAGACAGTCAGACAGCACTGCGATACACAGAAATTAAAAATAGTGTCTTCCATCACCCATAATTGGTACAGTCAGAACCAAATTCTTTAGCCCATCACAGGCCTTCTGGGCAGGAGGATGGCTTGATAGGTCTCAGAGCAGCTTAGGAGCATTTAGGAAATGCTTCAACCGCTGGCAGATTACTTGAGTCCAGGAGAATGGGAACAGTCATCCCAGAGAAGGGTATCACATTCCAAGAGCCTGACTCTGCCTCAAACTCCTCCGGGGAAGGATAGATCTCATCTTGTTTTTTCAAGACAGGGTTTTTCTGTGTTATCCCTGGCTGTCCTGGAACTCACTCTGTAGATCAGGCTGGCCTCAAACTCACAGAGATCCACCTGCCTCTGCTTCCCGAGTGACGGGATTAAAGGTGAGCCCCACTATTGCTAGACCCCATTTTAGTAACAAGGAACCAAATACTAAAAGAGATCCAAGCCTTCTGCCTCTACCAAGTGACTAAGGGGCTGTTGTCTCTATGTGGCCACTCTATCTCCCACAACAGATTACAGGCCTGTGTCCCCATGTCGTTGGGACTACTGGCCACTGCATCCTGAGAAGGAAGAGGGTTCATCAGTTACCTCAATACTGCTGATCAGCTCTAGGTATCGAAGGTCCTGGACTCTGGTGAAAGCCTATGGAAAGGGAAAAGAATAGAGTCAGCTGCCTACTTGTTCTCCACAGGCTGGTGGGGTGGGGGCACATCAAGCTCTAGAAAGAGAGCCGGCAAGCAGGGAAGGGAAGTCTGATTCATCATTGTGTGCTTGGGAGGTGTGCCACCCAGCGAGGCGCAGGCTGTCTTCATTTCAAGGATTAGTCCTTACAAAGAACTGTAAAGAAAGTCCTGGGAGCATCAATCATTTTGGGATTAGGTAAAACAGAACTATGATCCTGTAGTCTGCAGTGAAAGCCCTTGCCAGACACTGCTCATAATGGAAAGGCAGGCTGGGCTGATTCCAGTCAATGGCATCTGCAGAGTAGGCAAGACACGGAGACAAGAGCCCGCACGCTTGTCCCTGTGTCTTGGATGGGAAGCAGAAGACAACTCTGCTAACCCAATGGTGCTTTGCATTTCGGGGCACACAGTTTGAAGGGAAGGAGAGGAGGAGGGAAAAGGTCAGGAAAGAAGAATGGTTCTGAAGGAGGACAGCAGGGAATAATCTCGCAGTCTCTAGAAAGCAAACTTGCGTGTTAACCCTGAACATGCATCGTCTGCTTAGACTCACGGTAGAGGTAGATTTCTAATGCATGGATTTCTGGAAGGTTGTGAGGCCAGGCAGACTGGTGCCAAGGAAGAGCCTTTGGCTGCTTTCAGGTACCACAAGGGGCTTAGGGGAACTGACCTTCACGTGCTCTGCTGGCAACATTTCTGCCCAGCTGTGCTTCCTGCATTGCCCATGTAAAATGGACTGACACATGCCCTGAGCAGCAGCTCCTGGGCCATTATGGTCTAGAATGCACAACAGCCGTTGGCCACTGCAAGGCACCCTCTGTGCTAGAAGAATCGGGTAGGGTGGGGGTGATCAAGTCATCTGGCTTCCGGCTGCCTCACAGATGACCACAGGGTGATTTCATCCTCTCACCCTACAGGGCCAGGATCTATTCAAAGGCTAGGGACACAGGAATTTCACTTGGCTTCTGTCCCCCTTCCTAGTTCAGGGGTTCACAGTGGAAAGGGGAAGCTAGGCAGATTAAACAGAGAGCTAAATCTCCCTGAGCCAAGAGCTACACAAACATGAGGCAGATACCCTAGGGAGGGTACTTCCTGTCTGAACATGGCAGTGGCAGACTGCAGGATTAGACAAAGCGCTGCCCAGGAGGGACCTGGCAAGTGGCTTTCTTTCTGAAGCAGGGCCTTACTATGTTGCCTAGGCTGGCCTTGAACTCCTGCACTCAGGGGATCTTCCTGTCTCAGCCTGCTGAGAAGCTGGGGTGACAGGTACATCCCACAGTGCCCAGCACTTGGCTTTTCTTGAAGAACTGGTAAAAGGGTTTACCAGCAGTGTGAATAGAGGCCCTGTGGGACTACGCCAAAGGTCTCACGAGCTGCCTTCCTGAACAGGTCCCTGGTGCTGGGCAGAGTAGAGAAAGGAGACTCAGGTCTCAGCCAAGCTCTGAGCCCAGGCAGAACCTTGAACCTGTTCTCTTCCTGCCTTTTGGCTCCAGCCACCTTCTTTATGGTCAGGCAAATGAGGCCCTCTCCAAGAGTCTTTGTGGTTCTGGGCACTGGATTCTTGAATGTGATAAATCGGCCATTGACATCCTTCAGCCCTGATACACCGCAGAGTCACCGTGCTATTTGGAGTGGTCAGTCACAAGACTGTGAACAACTTCCACAGAGGGAAGTGGGGAGCGGGAACAGATGCCGCACTAAGCAGCTCTCCGGTGCCATCTAGTGGGGACACCTCTCTAGGCTCTCTTGAGTACTGAGTGACTGACACCCCAGGGAGAGGACAGCCAGGGATTCAGGAGGAAGATAAAAACACTGGTCAAGGTCTATGGTCAAAGTTTTGTTCCTTTTCTAAATAGCAGGCTGCCCATAAGCAATGTTCACACAATTTTCATTTGTCACTATCCTAACAAGGCACACAGTGCTCTGAAACGATGGTGTCTATTCTCAGTGTTCTGGGTTGCAGGGTAGGGATGAACTGAATTAGTTTAGTTCCTTCTATTTAGACATCTGCTCCGCAAATGATAGACCATGCTCTGGGCTGTGCAGGACAATAGTAGCATGATCTGGCTCTTAGGTTCTAAGTGAAAAGGGGGACAACCTAGAGGGAGACAATTTATTCCTAGTTACAAACAGAAGACGTCCTTGGAACCTGTTGTTATTCTTCACATGCTGGCATTTCTGAGTGGGGCAGAAGAAGTAAGTTCTTCCAGGAGAAGCCTCCCCTCGCCCCTGAATGCCCAAAGCCCTAGTCTTATACTTTCCCAATGCTTATCTGACCTACAAATATGCAAGTTGCTATTGGGTAGGTTTATTTTTCCTCGTGTGCTGTGTATTGAACCAGGGCCTTGTGTATGCTACCCGGTGCTCTACCACGGAGCTGGGCCTCCAGGTCTGTGTATACAGTTGGCATTTGCACAGCGACTCCAAACTGCCCTTTACCAGGCCTGGGGAGGCCTGAAGAGTGAGTCCAAAACGCAGCAAGAGCACTATGCATTTTCACAACCCCATTTTAGAGCAGAGGGAGGTCAGGCTGAGAGAAACGGCAAGGGAAAAGGGCAGCTCTGAGATGTGCGCTGCTTCAGTCCTCCTGTTTTAACAGGAGGCAGGTCCTTCAACGCCAGTGGCCTGGGCAAAGGGAGACTCTCTACTTGGCTATGGAAGAGAAAACAGGGAGCGAGGAGGAGGGAGAGGCTGGAAGTTGGTCCGTCTCCCTCAGTCTAGCAGATAGATGCACCTGGGACGCTTTGTGTGCCTAGACAAAGGTTCACTGCTTTTGACCATTCCCTTAGCTTTAACCAGACCGGAAGTGAGGGTATGAATCACACCATGAGGGTGTGGGGATCAGAGCCTGACCAGCTCTGCACTAAGCCAGGGCTAAGGACAATGGTGCTGTGATAGGAGGTTGCTTTGCATACCCAGCCTAAGGGATACTTGATTACTGAATGTCTGGCATGACAGGCTTTTATCTCGGTTCTTTACATAAATGATTGTTACCAAGACTGACAGCCAGAGTCAACCAGATGTTTTACTGGCATTATCTGTTTAAGATCTTCCCAAATTCATGAGGACAGGGCCTAGTCCTCCAGAGAAAGAACCTTGGGAAAGCTGTTACTGCCAGGCCCACAGTGAAGGGTGACTGAGAAGGAGACTGAGGGTGACTCAGGGAAGTCTGACTTCAGAGCCCATTACAAGCAGTTCCAGTGTTACCTGTATCCGTTCTGCCTCAAAAGACCCTCCAAGAACCAAATTTTGGCTCACACAGACTAGATGCGTACCTTCTTTGCAGTTTCAAACTCTAATCCTTCTAGAGCTTCCATGGCCAGTTCACGCCAGTCAGTGTCTGTCACTCCCAAGCAGGCGATCTGGTAGGCTTCTCTAAACATTTTCCTATCAAGGTATTGGTACATCGGAGCAGACTGTGGGGTTTCAGAAAAGGGAGAAAGTTAACAGTCTGTTCAGAGCACTGGAAAGAGTTGAACTCCAAACAGGCCCACTTCCAGATGGTCAGAGTATTATCACTGGAAATGCCTTCAACCTGCATCATTGCAACCTTGTCCTGGGCCCACCTGGGTGTGTCCTTTCTACCACCATCTCCTGCTGAGCCATAGCACTCCCAACACACACTTCTGGCTGCCATCTGCTGTCTCCTTCCCTGGGTCTACCTGACTCTAAAAGTGACCTTCCCTGGGAAAATCTACTCTCCCTGCATGGGAAATGTCTACTTGGCTTTATAAAGCTCTGCTAGAAGGTCCCTCCAGGAAACTCTTCCCTGCTTTCTCTCTGTGCCCCAAGAGGAGGTACCTGAGCTGCCCCTGGCCTCTGTGCAGATAGACCTTGTGCTGCACCCTAATTCCACATGGAACTCTGGGGTGAAGCCCTGCACACCCTGTGGCAGAAACTTGGCTGTATTTAGTTTCCAGCAGTCCCTCCATCCCAGGCCAGAGGAGTGAGTCATATGACCAGGAGGAAGACATCTGAGGTGGCCTTTTCTCAGAGGGACTGAATCTGAAAAAAGGCACGCGGATATGGAATTTGCTCCAGACTGACCAGGAAAGTTCTAAGGACAAGATCCTGAGGTCTCTGGGGCTGAAGACCAACTCTCCCCCTCAAGACCAAGCTTCCTAGCTAAGAATATCTATCTACAAGTATTCCCTATTGACTTCTTTTTCTTTAAGGCTATAAAGGACTTTGCAGTTATCCAAACAGCCCTGTGTAAGGAGGTGTTCCCTTTGATAACACCCAGGAGAGGGAGACTCCTGGAGGACACACAACTTGCCTGAGGTCACAGACCTCACAAATTAAAAACCTGAAGCTAGAGCAAGAGGTGACCTGATATTCCAGGTCCTGCGCTCCATCTTATTGTGTGTGTCACACAAGCGTGGACATGTATTTGCACACGTTAGACTAAAGCTGGGCTGGGCCTGGCATCTTTGGCAATAAGAGACCCTGTCTTGATTTGAGGCAGTCACTATGTCAGGGGCCCACATCTCCCTTCTGGATTCCTGGGCAGTGGAGATCAATCAGCAGTACCTTTGTGCTAATGGTTCCCAAATGTGGAGTTGGAGATACTGTTTTCTCCATTTGGGGCCTTTATCTTCGAAATTTCCGGTCCTTTGTTTTTTTAACTTCAAAATGAAAAGAAACCCTTTTCCTTTCTAGCCGGTCTACCCTCTGACAGTAAGACAAAACTGTTCCCAGGTAGTGTTTTTCCTGTGGTGCCACACCATCCACTTCCCCTTACTGTAGGGAGGCAGCTGCCCACAGACTAGGAGCAGCAGAGCTAGCACCCAGGTCTGGCTCAGTCACATCCTAGCCAGGTGCCCCCTGGGAAAACGTGCTACCTTCTATTTAGAGGCTCTGCCCACTCAGGCTACAGTAGACCAATGAGGCACTCATCTCCCTGGACACAGGTTTCATTGCGTCCTTGAAGCTTTCTCGGACTCCACCCATTCTGCCTCAACAATGAGCTCATTTTCTAGACTCGAATACCCTCTGGTCCACTTTAGCTCTGTTTTGTGGCTTTTGCTATTTCATGACTGTCTGTAATAAGAAGAAATAATAACAGGAATTGGGGCAGGCAAAACCTGAAAATGGGTGTAATTAACCCCATTTCACAGTGGTAAAGCCTGCAGTCTCAGTTGCTCTGGAAGTAGAGGTGGGAGGGTCGCTTTAGTGCTCAAGTTCAAGAACAGCCTGGGCAACACCGCAAGTGCCTGTCTCAAGCAAAACAAAACAAATGCAAAAACCAAAACCAATACCCCCATTACACTGAAAAGAAATGAGGCCCCAAAGACAGAAATAGGGTGTTGAGGATGCAGCTGGACCAGGTTTCAGGACTCTTTTCCCCAAGCTGCAGAACTTCTGCTATGCTGACTGTTCCAGGACAGGGGGACATGAAAATGTAGCACGAGACGAGCGGGCGGACTGGTAACACAGGCAGGAGGCACAACCTGAGTGAGGGTTTGACGAGCCAGGCCCCCTGAGCAACCCCTTATCTGGCTGCTGTATTCCAAGCATGACGTGATGGAGCACAACTGAGGCTTGCTGTCCTACTTGGCAGCTCGGACACACCAGTTCTTGCACAAGATGATACAAATTTCGAAAGGAAACCAAAAAAATCCCAAGAGCAAAATGGGGCTTTTTGCCTGGTCTGGAGGCCCAAACCGCAAGACGACTGGAGGCAGAGGCGACAGATAAACAGCCTTTGTCTCCAGATCGCCTTTCCCAATGCTTGGCAGCTCTGGCCTGCTGCATCAGCAGGAAGGCTGGCTGCAACCAACAGAGACTTTGGCTACTGAATCTTGAGGCCCTGGCAGAGGGAGCCCCAGCAGCCCCTCCGGCTCCTCTTGGCTGGCCAGATTCTAGGAGCAACAACTGCATTTATTTTTGAGGTTAGGATGGCAGTCTGGGGAGAAAACCTTTGAATAAGCAAAGCCTGTTTGGCACAGATGAGGAAGAGTTGGCCCTGAGCATTGGTTCTGGGGTTAGGATGCTGACAGGAAGCAGGTGAGGATGGCAGGCAAAAGCCCAGCAGGCCATGTTTGCCTTGCCTGGTCCCACATGCCACCCTGCTGCCATCTCTCATGCTTTTCCTCTTTCTGCTGTTCACTCACATCAGAATTCACTGCCCTCACTCAACACTCTCCAGAAGGGTCAGGAGCTGGTGTGGATACTGCTGCTGTAACCCCTGCAGCAGCAAGTTAACAAGGGCCTTCCTGGCTCCAGGGAAGACACAGGCGGAAGCTATAGACTAGGCAGACTAACGGAGCCCTGAGGAGAGGCAGTCTAGAACATCTGAACATCTTTCAGTGTACAGGGCCTTTGGCCCACCAACTGCACTTCTTGGAATTTACACTAAGTCAGGACAGATACTAGGAAGACATCCACTATTCAGACACCCACTATTCACAAGAGCAGCAGCTTTGAGCAGCCAGGTGTGGTGGTACACACCTTTAATCCCAGCCCTCAGAAGCAAAGACAGGTGGATGTACATGGTTTTGAGACCAGCTTGGTTTACATAGAGGATTCCAGGGCAGCCAGGGCCAATAATGAACCCTGTCTCTAAAAAACAAAAAGAAAACAAAAGGCCGTGGACGGGGCTGAGCTCTTTATCCAGAGATGCATGGCTACACAGTTAGGCACAACTCATTCAAGACCATAGCACCTTGCAACATCACAGATTCCATACTTCCCTCCTCCCTCTCTTTGCTTCTCTTAGCACCAGTATGAGGCCTGACCATTTTGTTTTGTGTGTCCTACAGCCAGAGAGGAGTGACGTGCACCCAGGTTACCTGTGGCACCTCCACGGCAGACATAGAGAAGACATGAAGGCAGAAGATCTTGGAGCCGTTGTAGCCAACCACGAAGCCCTGCAGCTTCTGCTGGTGCACTGGGAAGGTGCTGGCCTTGATGTTGAGGTAGCCTCCTCCGGAGAAGCAAAGCATGTCCTCACACTGGGTGTTCCAGGCCACACTATTGGCATTTGGTTCCTGAGGGACAAAGGCCTGGTAAGACTCTGGCACTACTCCCGTTTTCCACTCCCATCCCCATCGGAAGGCCTGAGTCTCACTGAGGTACTGACAGCAGGATGAAAGGAAAGGAGGAAAGGGGCCCAGAAAAGAAGGGATGAGGCAAACTCCTCTATGTACTGGTGGCGTGACAGAATTTTTGGATATGTGCTATTTCCAAAATTACTATCCCCTCCATATTTTAATCACTCCACAGTAAGTGGAAATTCAACCAGGTAGGATTCCATTTCTATTAAAGGAAGATAATGGGGTGCTGCTCTGTGGCAGTTGATTCCCCAGCACACACAGAAACAGAGACACACACATGCCCCTACCTACCCAGGAAGGAGGCCAAAAATATTATCCCTGGAGATTCACACAGTGACTGCTTTTGGATGAGTGGAATTGTGAAGAATTTCTATTTTCTTTGTCTTTTTTTTCCTACTTATGCTTGCTTGTCTGGTTTCTTTGGTCAAGAACACCCATTGTTTTTTATAATAAGCAAAAGCATGGGGAGTTCTTTTCAAAATTAGAAAATAATACATTGTCTCTGCATTTACACTCTTACACTAAAAATACAGTCACCATGGGAGGTACCCTCTCCGCCAGTGTTCTGCTCAACCCTGGAAGCCTAGGACTATCAGAGGCTCATTCCTCTCTGCCTAGAACAGTGGTTCCTGAGATCCCTTTGGCAAATCTCTATCTCCAAAAAATATTTACATTATGATTCATAACTAACAAAATTATAGTTATGAAGTAGCAAAAAGAATAATTCTATGGCTGGGGGGGGGTCACGACAACATGGGAAATGTATTAAAGGGTCACAACATTAGGAAAGTTGAGAACCACTGGCCTAGAATCTTCTACCAAGAGCATGGATTACTTTTTAATGAGAAAAGTCAGTAGTTTTCATTTGAAGGGACAAATGCAATGGGTAAGAGACTAGGAACATTATGTCTCCTGGAAATACCCGAGAACCACCTTCACTAGTTCCCCAGAAAGCCACAGCAAGGGCGAAGAGCTACACACCTTTCCAGTCTCCACACAGGACACACTGAAAGACCTGCTAACCACCTCCAGACCCAGACAGAAGTAGTAGAGTTTGGGGAGAAGGGCAGCATGTAAGGCTAGTTATACCCCACACTGAGCACACAGTAGCATCTTGTTTGTTTGATCCTGTGCTGTTTCTGTGGTAACTCTACGAGAAGGAAACTCCTAGCTTCATATTAGCACGGGCAGAGAATGTGTCTTAGTTAGCACCCACAAGGCCCTGGGTCTGATCTCAGCACAGTATAAATCAGGTGTGGTGGTACACATCTCTAGCCCCAGTACTTAGGAAGTGGAGGTAGAGGATGTCCCTCAAGTTTATCTTCAGCTATATAGAGAGCTGACAGCCAGCCTTGAGCTATGGAGAGACCCTGTCTTAAAAAAAAAAAAAAAAAAAAAAAAAAAAAAAAAAAAAAAAAAAAAAAAAAAAAAAAAAAAAAAAAATTCATGTTAGCCATAGGTGAAATTGAGACTCAAAGAAGTCCATGAACCCAGCTCAGTTGTCCCTTCCCCTAAACCCTCTGCTTTCTCTGTGACATGAAGTGCTAATAACTGAAGTCACTTGGGGGCTACTGGCAGCCAAGTATCCCTGTCCAACTGACTGAGGAAAGCCACACACTTCTACCCTGCTGGTTCTGTTGCCTCTACCCTGCTGGTTCTGTTGCCAAGGACAAGGAGGGCCTTGGAAGAGCATCCATGTCTACACATGACATTGTGAAACCCTGCAAGGAGAAACCAGAGAGCAGAGGTTCAAGCCTCAGGGGGTCCTCACGTCACATAAATTAGCTCTGACCACTTACAATGCCCCAAAGAGGTCAAGAACAGCCCTAGCCTGGCAGAAAGCCTGCTAGGTACTGGGTACAGTCTTTGGACTACTCATCCACAGGACCAAAGGGTGTGGAAACAATGCCCATCCCCAGTGACCCATGCAGCCACTGTGCTACAGCACCCTGTGGAATAAGCTGAGGGTGAGCCTCCACCTGCCCTTCCTAGTGTGCCCTAGGCACTGGTAGGAACTGGCAGTCTCGGGTATTGGAGTCACAGACTTCATCAAAAGAATCACCACCATACATTAACCTGGCCACCAGACTCGTCACCATCATCCCAAGTACAGTTTACTGCTATGTGAACCACGTGTTACTAACAAGGAAACCAGTGTTCAAGAGGCTGGCCTGGCCACCTGTTCCCTGGAGCTTTTCAGAATCTACACCTGTGCTGGGTTCCAGCCTCTTGCTGTTCCTCTCAGACAGGGCTGGGTATCTTCTTGCACAACTGGGAAGCTCAGTCCTGTTCCAAGGACTGTGCCTCGATCCAGGACTTCACCTGAAAAAGCAGCTCCTTCGTGTGGATGTCATACACCAAGCACGTGTCATTTTCATCCACCACAGCCAGCTTATTCCGGGAGGCACTCATATCCAAGCAGCGCACGGCTGTGGCCTGCTTCAGCAGGACAATGGCAAAGAGATTGTCCACAAAGATCTTCAGGATCTGGCGAAATTTCAGAGAAATAAATGTGAGTCACCATGGCAACCAGACCCTGGACCACTGCCAGGCTGTTGGCGTCCCATGTGTTCTACAAGAACAACACCCACTAACTCCTCCAGAAGCTGTGTGCAGAGAAAAGACTCATTAAATAAAGCAGGGTGTGTGGGGGAGGGGAGGACCATCCTTAAGAGACCAGAGGAACAGTTCATCGGAGGTCACTGAAGCAACAACAGGCCTGAGACATGCCAAACTCACTCTAATGTCTGTGTGGACTGGGGTCATTTTTAATGACACTGCTCAAACTGCAGGGTAGGTAATCATACACAAACACAGGAAGGGCTACTGTAAACACAGGCGAGACATCTGGCATAAAGTAATAATGATGCTGCTGATGGTGACAGCTGCCATTCACGGACATCCCTGGCTTTGACAGCCCTGTGAACAATCATAGTATTGTCCTTATTTGGAAAACTTGAGCCTCAGAGAGCAAACTGATCTGCCCAGGGCCATACAGCCAGAGGGAAGCTAAGAAAGAATGTGGTCCCAGGTTAACATGACCCCAAAGTCATGCTCAGTCTCACCTGAGACCTGACAGCTGACTGGGTGGCGGGGGGCAGACTCTCCCCCACTTGGGTGCTTCTGCTTGACAGCTCCCACTGCTCTCATGCTCCACAACTTCCGTCCCCAGCAAAGACCTGACAAGCCTCAGCCACAAGCCATCTGCTACACAGCTTGGCTCTCAGGCTAATGCAGCTATATTTTCGCTTTCAAATTTCTATGTAGCCCACATAGAACTTTTCTTATTTTGAGCAAAGAATGCAGATGAACACACACACACTCACACACACACACACACACACACACTCACACACACACACACAAATCTGTTCAACTTTCATATAGCCTAGATTTCCTAATCCACTTGTCCAAACAGCCCATTTTTCTTTTAGCTTCTAGTAACAGCCTAAGGACCAGCAAGCACTATCTAGGACCCAAAGAGGGGTGCTGGTTAATCCAGGCACTGTCTAATAGGGCTCTGACCTCGTGAACAATCTCTGCCTGCCGTTCTGGAAATCCACTAAAGCTGTGGCTCCAACAAATCCCACCTTTGGGGTGACCTTAAACCCACTAATCTCTGCTACGTGCAGCCTGGGGGCCATGGCACCAACTGCCAGGTGTGAGCATGCTGGGAGTCTGAGGGCCACAGACTGAAGCTATCGTTATGAAAGCAAACTGCAGGCTGTCCACAGTCCATCTCAGATCATCCTAGACAGGAAACCTGTGTCTGCCTGAATTACAAACACAATGGTAGCAGGGGAAGACTCACCTGGCCGTTTTTCAGGCCCACCAACAGACCTTCCCTTCCAGCAGGGCCACCGATCACCTTGATGTACCGAATGAGAGACTCCATCTGCCACTCCCTTTCCTTCACTCCACTGAAGGACAGACACTGCAGTCGTTTCTCCTAGGAAGCAACCCAGGCTCAGCATGGAGGTTCAGAGAATGAGTGCTCCAGCTCCCGGGTTGAAGAAACCATCCTACACCATCAGCATTGATCTAGCCCTGGCTCTCCCAGGGCTAATCCACCACAGGCTTCTAGCCATCTTCAGCTTGGACCTCCAGAGTCAGGGACAGCAGAACAACAACTTGCCACAACTATTCTCTAACTTGGGGTAGCCCAGAGTGGCAGGAGGCTCAAGACTCTCACACAGGTTTTGATATTAGTTTTACAATGGCTCCTAAAGGATTTCTTCCTTTTGATAGTTCCTAACAGGCCCGGGCAAGGTCCACCCACAGTAGGCTTTTTCTTGATTTAAGTACCAAAACTCCTCTTGGCACTGACCTAGAGACTTAGAAGTCTATGCTAAGAAAAAAATTTTTCTTTGGAAAAAAAAACAACAAAAAAACTCTTAGAGACTTTGGTGGGGGTGGAGTGGCACAAGTTTGTAATTCCAAGTACTCCTGAGGCTGGGAAGGAGCTCTGCAAGTTCAAGGTCAGCAAGGTAGACTTAGCGAAACCCAGTCTCAAAATTAAAAGTAAAAAGAGGTGGGGGGTGGGGGGGAGGTAGTGTCACACACCTTTAATCTCAACACTCGGGAGGCAGAGGCAGGCAGATCTGTGAGCTGGAGGCCAGCCTGGTCTACAGAGCAAATTCCAGGAAAGGCTCCAAAGCTACACAGAGAAACAATATCTCAGAAAAAAAAAAAAAATCATCCTAGACAGTTATGACTCATGTCTTCAACTCAGCACTCAGGAGGTAGACATGGGGATCATGAATTTGAGGTCAGCTCGAGCAATCTCAAAATAAATAAATAAATAAACCTTCATGTAGAACACCTTAAAATACGTCTAATCCCAGTACAATACAAAATGTTCCACAGTACAAAATCATTGTAGCTCTGGCCCTCATCCCTCTAAAAAGTGATTCATCTAGATGCCATTTCAGTAGAAGCCAATGGCCAGCCGCTGAACCGTGATCAGCTTTAAAACCCTGAGGTAGAGGAGACCAGCTGCCCACCTGGCACAAGATGATGTGGTCAGCACACACCACCAGCAGGTTGCACTCAAACTTCTTGACAATTTTCTCCTTCACTCGGTAATGCATGTCTGCCGAGTCGTCTGAGTACAGCTCATAGATGAGGATCTTCTCTGGCAGCTGGATAGCTAATCGATTTTTGTAGATGGCAATTTTCTTGACAAGCTCTCTGCATTTAATCCGAACTGTCAAAGGGGGGGGGAAAAGGCTCTAGCAAAAGGTTGTTAAGTAAGGTGAAAGGCAGAGAAATTAAAAGCCATCATTTATTTATTTAATGCTCCTGACAATTAAAGTGAGACACTCTCATTAAAAAGTCTTTCCCGGGGCTGGAGAGGCAGCTCAGTGGTTGGAACACTGTTGCTCTCACAGAAGACTATAGGGTTTGGTTCCCAGGCCCACAGAGAGGCCCACAACCACCTGTAACTCTAGTTTCTGGCCTCCTCTGGCACTGCACATATATGGTACACAGACATACACATAAAGTAAAAGTAAATGCATTTTAAAAATTCTTCCCAGGGAACCGGCCATGCGCAGGTAGCTGTGCTAGGTGGGGCCCAGAGCTGCATATGCTATGACTTTGCAGCCCGAGGGCCGGCAAGTGGTCAGTGCCACCACCACTTGTCCTGTATTTCTGAGCTCCTTCTTCTGCATAGCAAAGAAGGCCCCAGTGATCTGGAGCCCAGCAAAAAGACAATGTCACAGTGGCCTACACTCCTGCAACCTTCCTGACCACAGGGACTTCCATGAGGTAGGCTCTGCCTCTACAGACCAAGTGGGGTAAACAACCCAAAGAGGACACTGCTGAGCTATCCCAGGGGCTACATTCCCACCACCTAGATGGAACTTTCAAAACATAGATCTATCCAGGCAGGGACAAAAGAAGACAAACTGAATCTGCAAGACAGTCCCTAACTGGGACCTCTACACAAAGACATCTGGCCATCTCTGGTTAGCCGTATCCAGATAGCATATGTGATCAGCACGTCTGGATATGAACACAGCTAAGTGGAAATATTAACCAGCAGAACAGAAGGGGAATAGACTGTGAGGCTGGATCCCTGTGGTGGTCTGAATGAAAATAGCCCCCAGAGACTCATTCGGGAGTGGCACTAGAGGCTATGTAGCCTTGTGGAGTAGATGTGGCCTTGCTGGAGGAAGTGTGCCACGTGGGGAGGGTTTTGTGATTTCAGATACCCAAGCCAGGACTAGTGTCACTTTCTTCCTGCTACCTGCTAGCTGGGATGTAGCTCCTTCTCCACCACCATGTCTGCCTGCACACAGCCATGCTTCCTGCCATGATGATAAAGAACTGAACCTCTGAACTGTAAGCCAACTCCATTCAAATGTTTCCTTTTAAAAATAGTTGCCATAGGTCGGGCGTTGGTGGCGCATGCCTTTAATCCCAGCACTCAGGAGGCGGAGGCAGGAGGATCTCTGTGAGTTTGAGGCCAGCCTGGTCTACAGAGCGAGTTCCAGGACAGCCTCCAAAGCAATACAGAGAAACCCTGTCTCAAAAAACAAAACAAGGGGCTGGAGAGATGGCTCAGAGGTTAAGAGCACTGACTGCTCTTCCAGAGGTCCTGAGTTCAATTCCCAACAACCACATGGTGGCTAACAACCACCTGTTATGAGATCTGGTACCTTTTTCTAGTGTGCAGATATACATGGAAGCAGAATGTTGTATACGTAATAAATAAATAAAAATATTTAAAAAAAGAAAAACAAAACAAAACAAAAAATAGTTGTCTCTTCACAGCTATAGAAACCCTTAACCAAGACAACCCCTGATCCTCTTACCAAGCCTGAGCATGTCCACTGCCCTACCTGTCTAGTAGACAGACCTACCAAGAGATGAACAGAAACTGAGGAAAAGGTATGCAGAAGTGGCTCTGACCAGAAAGGGTAAAGGCTCACAGAAGCCCATGCAGGTCAGTCACCACAGCTCTGACTTGTCAGTCTCTGTGTCTCAGGGAGTCCATTTGTCCACTTATACCTTGGAATTATTTATAAAATGTAGAGACTTGGTACTTTTTTTTGTTTTGTTTTGTTTTGACGCGTTTTATTGCTTTTGCTAGATTCTCAAAGAGATCTGCATCCTCCTTCTACTGTCAAAAAGTTAAAGCAAGACCAGCAGAGATGCTGGGTGGTGGTGGTGGTAGTGCACACCTTTAATCAATCTTAACACTTAGGAGGCAGAGGCAGGCAGATCTCTGTGAGTTCGAGGCCAACCTTGACTGAAGAACTGAGGTCCAGGACACCAACCCTGCCTCAAACAATCCAAAAAAACCCAAAAACCAAAACCAAACACACACAAAAAAAAAACATAGGAGACACGGACATTTCCTATTATTTTGTGTGTCTTGTCACTAGCCCCATGCTAGTGTCTATAAGCAGAGGCAAGCCTGCCTCTTACCTTTCTGCTCTGTAATCAGGTGTTGTACAATGACATCTGTCATGCTGTCCCTGTAGGCATACCGATCCTTATAGAGTCCGTGGACTGTGCTGAAGATAAGCTGGTAGAAGGAAATGGTGCCATCTTGGCAGCCTACCACCTGTTTGGAAAATAGCTGTCAATCTCAGGCTGGGAGGACAAGCAGCCCACCCCCATTAGGAGCGATGGCCAAGAATCTGCCTGGCTGACTGATGCTCAGGGCGTCCTCTAGCAAGGCTCTGCAGAATGAACTCCCTCTACTCACCACGTAGTTGGAGTCAGGTTTCACTCTACAGGTCCACACCCAGGAGTTCTGCTCCCCAACGGTCCCCAGTCGAACTCCATCCTTGGTGAAAAGAGATACCTGCTTGTCTGAACCCCCCACCAAAATGTACTCTCCTTTGGTGAAGTAGCTGATGCAGCAGGGGTCAAAGTTCAGTGGCCGATCCTTTCCAATCTGAGGAAAGAGACCATACACCAAGTGAAAGACATTCCTGGACCCCAGTAAGGGCTTCCCCACCAATATCAGTGGGGTTGGGGGAGTGCTGGAAAGACAGGGGCTGCCTAGCCTTACCTCCTGTGCTATTCCATTACCTGCACAGGCATCTCCACCTCTGGAACACCCACATCTCCCTCCTCAACCCATCTAAATCCTTGGCTCCTAAAATCACCAATGCCTGACCTAACTGTTGCAGAGTGGACCCAATCTCCTCAGCCAACCTGGAGGCCAAGGAGTCTTTCTCATTCACCCACCTCCCACGTGGCCAGCAGCTCACCTCAACTTCTTGTCTGTTTATTTTCTGGGCTTATTCACTTAAAAAGACTGCCCTTTATTCTTTATTCAACTTAAGGAAAACAACTCTAAAAAACCTGGATCTTGCTTTAAGGTTTAGGGTCAATTTACAAATGTTTTCCTATTTATAAATCTAGTAAAAGTGAGCAATCAATTGATGCTGACAGTTTAATGAATGCAATTTTGAACATATAAAACCACTGAAATAGTCAGCTCCAATTTCAACTTAGTTAATTCCCTTCAACTAATTTAAACTACAATTATAAATTTAGTATGTTCACTTTTCCTTTCCTTTTTAGGAAATTCAAATGCCTAACAACCGAAAGCTTCCCTCCTACCTCCCAATGCTACAAAGTCTAACAAGAAAACTTCGGCACCTGTCATGACACTGAGGGCTGACAGCTGCAGGCTGGGGCTTAGGACTTCCTCTTGAAAGCAACAACTATCAGCTTTGGGGCCAACTACAAGGACCAACTAAAACAGTGGTGGGTGCCCAAAGCAGGCAGAAACTAGATAAGAGAGACAGCCTCAAGCAAGCTTCTCCGAATGCTGGCCTGTAAGCTCCCTTCTGGGTGGGCACAGCATCTGAGAGCTGGACAGTGAGGAAGAAAGGAAGGTCAGAAGGAAGCCCCTTCTGCACGCAAGCTCTGCTAACTCTCTGGAAACCTTCAGCTACCCATGCGTGTGACTCACAAGTGAAGCCAGAGAGCTGTACTGAGATCTCAGCTGCTACCCACTGAAAATACAGACCAGAACGCTATGAGACCAGCAATCACCCCCACCCCACCTGTGCACATGCATACACCTGCAGAGGAATGGGAGAGAAATGAGTTTCTATGATGTACCGTTTACAAGGCCCATAATATAATTCAAATGTTCAAAAAGTAGGAAACAGTGGGGCTCTTGCAGAGGACTTGGGTTTGGTTCCCAGCACCCACATGGTGGCTTGTTGGAATCTGTAACTGTGTTCCAGGGCTCTTATGCCTTCTGCTGGTCACATGTGATACACATACAAGTAGGCAAAATATAAAAATAAAACTTTTTTAAAGTAGGAAAATGTGAATCATACTTGAGGAAAGACAATCAACAAAGCCAGACCCAGATGACCGGAAATTAGAATGGGCAGATGAAAGTTTTAAAACATCTGTGATAACACAGTTGAAAATATTAAGGAAGGGGCTGGAGAGATGGCTCAGTGGTTAAGAGAATCTAATGCTCCTGCAGAGGGCTTGAACTGGGTCCCCAGCACCCACGCGGTATCGAAGAACATACTGACTAAATCAACTCACTGGACAAGCTTAACAGACATGGAAAAAAATTATGGAGACTCAAGAAGTGACTGGAATCTGAAGGAACAGAAAGAATGAAGAAAAAGTACCCAAAGAGATGATGGCCAGAGTATTATTGTCTTTTAATTTCATTATTCTCTCTTCATCATATTTTTAAAAGAACATATTGTGTGTGTGTGTGTGTGTGTATATATATATGTATATATGTGTGTGTGTGTGTGTATGTATATATGTATATATTTGTTTTGTTTTTAAGCCTAGTGAATCCTAAGTAGGAAAATACAATGATTCTCTTTAAAGTCTGATATTGCTTAGGCACTTAATAAAAATTCTTGTCTTCCCATTGAAAATCAGTTGTATGGAAATCAGTTTTTAATTCAATTATACTTTTAAAGTAGTCATCACTAGACTAATCTGGTAGATATACAAACACAGATTTCTAGCACCCATCTGGCCAGGTACCAAACTAGGTGTGGCCACAGACTAAGCGGTGCTCTTGAGGTCAGCGGAAGCCTAAGACCTCCATTTCATTACATGTAGAAAAATGTGGTAGCCGTTCCTCCAGAGGGGATCTGAGGACTAAAGGAGCTAGTCCTGTAATCGCATAACAAATGTCTGGACCAGGGAATACCAACTGGCTACTAAGCCAGGGCCCCATCAAGCACTACAGATGCCTAAAAGACCAAAATGACACAAATGTTACCAAGCCTGACAAAAAGTTGGGCTTTGTTTATCAATCATTGTCCTATACTTAATCCCAATTCACTCCAGAGTTGAAAAGACACTTCAAAACCAAGAAAATAACTTCACTGTCCCAAACAAGTACCACTGTATCATGGTTTGGACCTTAAACAACTCTCAGAAACTCTATGTCAAAGGCTTGGTCCCCAGTCAATGGCATTATGGAGAAGGGGGTAAAGTTTAAGGGGTGGGACCTAGTTGAAAGAAACATGTCACTGGGCATGTCCTCTTAACTACATATTGGAAATCCTCAAAGAATCAGTAAATTGGTCTGATCTGGGTCTCAATCCCAGGCTCCACCATTTCCCAACTGTGTGGTACCTACTGCTCGGGTCTTGGTCTCCCCATTTCTAAAAGTATGTCATTAAAGTCTCTCCGCACTGGGTTGAAGAGCTGAAGAAGAGAAGACAGCATTGGGCCCAGGACCTGGAGTCACAGCAAATGTTCACTATGCAGATGCTAACAAGGACCACGTGTGCACACCATCAGCGTGTGCCACAGCTGACCTGGGTAACGGTTGTGCATGGTGCTACATACCTGTTTTCCACTCAGCTGATAGAAGGAAAGTTTCTGTCCCCAGTCAGCTACAGCCAGGATGTCATTATGTTCCTCTCTAATCAACAGAAGACAAAAGAGGTTATGAGGGGGCATAGCCTGCTGATGAGTGTGGCTAGGGGCTTAACAAACAACAGGAAAAAGAAAGTCCTGGCTACGCTGTCAGGGAGCCAAATGCTACACAGCCATACTAGGGCCAGTGTTACCATCAGGCCAAGCATCAATCAGTCCCAAGACTAAAGTAGAGACAGGGTTGGCCCTCCTGGGATCTGGTATTTCACTGACTCCTGGCCATGAGTGGCCTGGGCTAGGACATGGCTACAGCAGCTAAGGTAAACCCCTCATATCAGAGTTCCTGGGGAGCAACCTGAAGGGTGAGAATGGCTGCACATCCAAGTGTACCTTCTTCTCATGTGTAAAATGTAGGGAGTAGCTAGGAGATATAGCTTATAGTGAGGAGGCTAGACTGCTCTGGTAGATGGGAAATTGCTCAGTCTTCCTGCAGAGGAAGAATGGCACCCACACCCAAGTTCTCGTGCAGTTAGGGTTCTTGAAAAGATGAAATGGCATCTGAATGAAGATAACCAACTTTTTGAAGTTTTTGAAGACTAAAAACTGCCAATGGAACACAGGCCTGTAGATCTGTGTCTTGGGATGGGACTTCAGAACCAGAACCCAGGAGAAAAGCCTCTGAGACTCAGATGGGAAGCCAGCCACCCAGAATGCAGACAGAGAGGCTTCCCAGCATCAGTGCTGGACCATAAGCCTCCCCAGGTGTCTGAGTCTTTATTAACCCCTGCTTCCCCGAGCCCAGGTCTGACAGTCACCTGGCAGCACCACTAGCCACATAAGCATGCTCCGTGAAGCATGGTCTGCAAAACCCAGCCAGGGGAAGCAGGGAGGAAAGCACCATAGACACTAATTCAGAATTAAGAAAAAGGGAAGAAAGTAGAGAAGATGCTAGCAGAAGGCTTTACAGATGAACTGTGATGACTGATGCTGAAGTCCAAACCCTAGCCACCAGTGAAGCCCCAGGGGAGAGGCCATGTGTAGTGCTAGGTTTGACTCAGCTGCTAGACACTAGACTAGGAGTTTCCAGCCCAGCCACCCACAATGGTGGGCAGTGGGGCTCTACCAAAACACCCATATTGAATAATAAAAAGGGGCTGAAACTGATATGGGAACCTGAAGGCCACCCTTCCTCCTTTCTTTGTCCCCACTTCCCACCCCACAAACCTGGATTCCTCTAATGAATCTTTGGTGTCAGGGCTGCAGTGAGGAGGGTCCCAAGCTGGGACAAGATTGCCCAATCACAACATCCTGGCTGCCTCAGCTATTCCCACTCTACCTGCAAGGATTTCCCTTACAGGCCATCTCAACTGAGAGGAGGCTGCCCAGCAGCCAGGCCTGCAGGTGTGGGAGGGGGTGAAAGCTAAGGGCTTGCTTCCCCTTTGCATACATCCAGTAACAAAAAATATCAGGTGAATGGCGACCCTACACGGACATTGTGAGTCAGGCGTCAGACACTGTCTACTGCTGCTGGAAAGGGCTCACTCGGAGGTTAAGAAGCAGGAGTGGTTATGATAGTCACACATGGAAGTCAGAGGTGCCGGGGCCTTTTTAGAGATGGCAGTTTACAGAGGTGTGTCCTCCTCTGAATGACCCAGTCTCCTCCTCCTTTCTCAGAGGATTGCACTAGCTGCCACCCACACACGCTTCTTAGGGGGAGCTTCCCTTCTGAGTGTGGGGCACACCAACAATCCCCTGGCCCTGCTTGCTGCCCTTGGCCAAAGATCTTCTCAGCAGCATCTGCTTTGGCAGGTCTGTGTGGGGGTCTGGGCCCTCCCGAGGAGGGTCCTCACTCTGTGGGACACACTCACGAGTTGCCGTCCCTGGGACTGTCGTCCTCTTCCTCTTGCTCTTCCTCCTCTGCCTCACTACCCTGACTATTGTACACTGTTGACTTCAGAATGGAAGGGATTTCCTGAAAATATCTGTTGACAATGACATCCTCAGCATCCTCGTTCTCTCTGCTCATCCAGATATTCTCCCATCGGCTGTAGACAGTAAGCGGATGTTCACAATCACATTGCCTAGGACTACACTATAGCTATAATTTCAAAACCTGCCAAGGAGCCCCTGGACCCTGCCCGGAAGAGGACAGCCACCAGGTACAATGGGCATCCTGCTCCTCATGAATTAAAAATGGTAGCCTGAAGCCACAAAGTCATCTGTGGCCACAAAATCAAACAGCAGGAACTCTGGGGTAGGCTAATGGCCTTTGAAGGCATTATATACACACGGAGGGCCTCCGCTGGACAGGATTATTCAGGAAGAATTATAATAACCTGTTGTAAGAAATGCAACGGAATTAAACAGCCTCCTAAATCAAACGGGCGCCCACCTGTAAAATAACACTGGGACAGTAAACAATTGAGTCCTTTAATTTACTCTCAGAGAACTCCATGGGGATAGGTTTAATAATATTATAGGATTACACAAAGAGCCAGAAAAGCTTTTAGTCTACCCTCAAAGTCACATGGGCATAAAAGTAAAGTGTGTGCACGGTTTGAGCAGGTAGGTGCCAACTGTCTGCAGATCTTTGGGCTTTAGGGTTATTTGTAGGCTTAATTTTAACTTTTTGACAAGGAAAATTAGAAAAGCACTCACGAAAGCACTGTTCTGTTACTAGTGTAACAGGTGGGTGGGTGCATGTCCTGGGACATGGAGGAAGAGCCATGCAGCAAGAAAAGAAACACGGGGAGATCACAACTATCGTGAAGAAGCCTCTCTCTCGCTCTCTCAGTCTCTGCCTGTCTGTCTCCCTCTCTGTCTGTCTCTGCATCTGTCTCTCTCTCCCTCCCTTTCTCTCTCTCTCAGCTGGCCTAGATAGTTCATCAGCTTAGCTAAATCTCTGGGATTCATTCCAAAACCCAATACAGGCTCTTTTAAAACTTCATTTATAAGGAACTAGTTCCAAAAGACCAGGCAAGTGGGGAGAGAGGACTTTAACTACAAAGATGTCAAGAAGAGAAAAGGAGCTCAGAGCTTCTTCTAACAGTGCCAGCCAGGAGAAAGACAGCATGGGTACCTTGAAGGATTCCAGCAGATGGACCATATTGGGGAGAGGGAACCCCCTGGCCGCTCGATCTTCACTTTCTCTTCGCCATTTTTGTTCCGTATGCTGATGACTCCATTGGACATCCCCAGAGCCAGGTACTGACCATCGTTTGTCCAGCTGCACACACAACCAATGAAGAGCATGGGAGACAGAAAGGACAGAGACGGCAAAGCAGGAAGCTCAGTGGAAGGCGGCAGCAGCAGCCAGACTACAGTCTCGCCACTCCTGACATAGAACTAGACACCAGCTTGGACTGCCACTCACATCTGGGCTTAGTGAGACCTTAAGGCAGTGGCCTTTATTTCAGAGGGTATCTATTCCCCTGGCTCTCTGTGCACATCTCCATGACAGCCTGCCCCCATCTTCTGCTTTGCATTTCAACCCCTCCCAATTCAGGGGTTTCCAGTAAACACAATGTCTTGTGTCTTTTTAGCCCTAGAACAGGGCCTGACATGTCATTCAACATGCTGAATCCCGAAGTCCTCCCAGAAGCTGCTCAGTTTTAGTGTCTAGGCCTAGTGCTGTGCTGTGGCGTTTATGCACATTCCCAGCAATGGTGTTGTTATTACCATTGGCCCAAAGGCTCCAACTCAGAGAGACTTAGTAACTTTCCTAAGGTCACAGGCCTATCAGTCACAAGACCCAGATTCTGATCTGGGTCTAGCACCAAAGTCAGTGGTTCCTGCCTGACTTCATTGGTGAAGAAGCCCATGCCAGCTTACCAAGTGAAGATGACCAAAGGCACAAGTCATTCCCATCAAGGAGACAAGAGAAAAAGAAAAAGGAAACACAGGAGCCTATACCAACTGGCAGACACCACACTCTCTGCAGGGTGAAATTAGTGAGTGGCCTGTGTGGGTCAGAGCACCCCTAGCTTACCTGCAGCAGGTAATCTTGCTGCTGGATTTGTGCTTGGAGACAGACTTCTGCTCAGGAGACCACAGCCCTTTGGAACCAGGCAAAAGAAAAGACTATTCAGCAACAGAGAGGAATCAACTATTCATTCATACAAAACTCAAATGTCTGGAGTCTTATGCTGAGTTAAGGGGCGAAGCCAACTTCCAGAAGTCAATACACTCTGGGTCCATGTATATATACAACATGCTAAATGACAATTACACAACTGGAGAACAGATCTACAGCTACTAGGATTTCAGATGCCAGGTGGCAGGGGATGGTGGGTGGCAGGCACTGGTATGGGAATGGGATCCTGTACTGCAGTGGCAGTACACTGCCACACAATTGATGAAATGACAGAACCACAAACACACTGTGACCTCCTTCCCTGGCTCCTATATTGCCCAACAGCTGCCCAAGGTGCATCCACTAGGAAAACTGGGTGAAGAATTCATGAGGTTGCTCCGTACTGTCTTTGCAAGGTACTGGGGATTACTTTTTTAAAAAAGGTAGATGGTGAAGTTCTATCCAATTTCTCCAGGATTTAAATCTCAAAGAAAAGGACAACTTAGCTGCTCATAGCTGGGGCATGACAGTCAGAGAAGAACTCAGCATTAAAATAGTGAGTTAAGCTGGGCAGTGGGGGCACACACCTTTGATTTCAGTACCCGGGAGGCAGAGGCAAGCAGATCTCTGTGAATTCGAAACCAGTCTGGTCCAGGACAGCCAGGGCTACACAGAGAAACCTTGCTTCTAAAAACCTAAAGACAGACAGACAGACAGATGAAACAACAAGTTAAGGAAATGGAATGTGCAGGGATGCAGCTGTGAAGTTTCCCATTAGGTGAGCTGACCCAGTCCCAGAAAGACAAACATCATGTGTCTTCATGCCTAACTTTTAATATTTGTAAACAAGGGGTGTGACAATGGTATAGACAACGCAATTACTGGGAAACCGAGCAAGGGAACAAGAGGTTTGGAGGATGGGAATGGCCATGACATGAAAGTAAAAAGAAGGCTCCTGCCCCATCTATCCCCATGAGGGAGGAAGCAGGGATAGGGAAGAGTTCAGGGGTGGGGGGTGGGGGGGACGACAAAACGAATTTTGTTTGAAAATGTCATGGTAAAATAAACTAAGTAATGACAAGCTTTTTGGAGAGTCCACTTTCTAGGCCTCTGTCACTGCACATGGCTATCTGCGCTGTGCACTGTGCATGTACACTGGCCAGTTTAGGCTTGCTCCCTCCAGTCCCCAGACAACAGACAACAAAAGCAAACTCTACTCTGGCTGAGCTGTGAAGTGTGGCCACATGAAAGTTTCCACAGCCAAGCGCGTGTAAGGAGAGCAGAGGAAGTTCTGCGTGAGTAAAGTCCTGAGTAAATGTGTGCTGTTGACATAGGCACAGCCACGTCAAGGACTCCACAGCCTCAGACCCACAGACACGGCAAAGCCTTCTCCTTGGAGGAGAAACTGAGGGAAATGGCAAAGCCTTCCTTTTCGGGTCCACGTGTAGATGTTGACAATAGATTCAGAAAAGGTTCAACATAGCTTTCTCCCAAGATACCTTTGGCCTGAAGACTGCTCCCTACAGAAACTGCTCTGACTGAGATCAGTTAAACCTGTCTCCTTGATCCAGCTGTATATAACCCTGTCTCTGTATTTTCCTGTGCTAACCCTGCCTCCATATTTATCTGTGATAACTCTGCCTCCGTATTTGTCTGTGCTAACCCTGCCTCCGTATTTGTCTGTGCTAACCCTGCATCCTTGACTCAGCTGCAAGCAATAACCCTGCCTCTCTGTTCAACTCTATAAACACACTGGGCTTCCAGGATGCTGCGGTCCACCTGACCCCAGTTTTATATCTGTGTCTTCTCTTGTTTTCATTCCCTGCTGCCCCAGTCATGAGAGTCCCTAGAGTCCCTGGGGCGGAGCAAGGTTTCGGGAACGCAGTCCAATGGCTGAATCTTTGCTCTCTTCTTTCAAACATTTCCACCCCACCTGTGTACGTTTCTGTGCTTCACTGTAAATGCACAGGGCCTTCAGCTGCAGGAACCCCTCTTTTCTAGCCTCCCTCAAGCCCTGCGCATAGTTGCCCAGCCTGGGCCTCACCCCTACTCTTCCAATGTTAGCTAAGTGACTGCCTTAAGTAACCCTGGAACTACATTGAGCCCCTGTGTTTTCTCCTTCACCAGGAGAGTAGAAATAAGTGAAACAATTGACCTCAGGAGTTGGCACAGAACTCAGAACTTTTTTAAAATAGTTCTCAAAACACAGGAATTCTCGTTCTAAAAAATTCATTGTAAACCATCAGCATAGTGCCCCCCACACTGTACGTAAACATTCTGTAGGTCTGCTGCGTGTATATGCACAGTGAGGTCTGTGTGCAGGGATGCTTGTCCTGGGAAGCAGAAGCTGACCTTGAGATGTTTTCCTCTATCACTCTATTTTCAGACAGGGTCCCTCACTGAACCTAGTGCTCTCCATTTTGGCTTTACTGTCTGTCCAGCAAGCCCCTGGAATCTGGTGGTCTTGCCGCCAGCACTGGGGTTAGAGACAGAAGCCACCACAGCTGGCTTGTACATGGGTACCTAGGATCTGAATGCTGGTTCTCCTGCTGCAAGCTCTTTACCACTGAGCCATCTCCCCAGCCCAACTATTTTTACTTAAAACATTTTTACAAATCCTACCTTCCCCATTCCACAAGCTTGAGAGCAGGGATATTTTAACTCCTCCAAAATAAGCACAGATCAGTGGCCCACAAGAAGATAAGCTAAATTATTTATTTATTTACTTTGGTTTTTTGAGACAGGGTTTCCCTGTGTAGCTTTGGAGCCTGTCCTGGAACTCACTCTTGTAGACCAGGCTGGCCTAGAACTCACAGAGATCTGCCTGCCTCTGCCTCCCAAGTGCTGGGATTAAAGATGTGCGCCACCGCCTGGCAAGCTAAATTTTTTAAGCAAATGGCAGTTCTTTCACTACTGATAAACTGTGTTGTTTTGCATTCTCTTTGGATGCTAGAACCATATGAGTGGGACAGAGAAGGTAGGGAACACATCCCTTGTGGATAAGGACATTGAGGTACTGAGAAGGCTTAGGTCTCTGGATTCCTAACCATGTGGCTGTCCTGTGGGTCCCCTGGCATGGAGCTGGAAGCCAGAAGCCTCCCTCCTCCCTTCATAGACACATCGCTGCCACCTCCTGTCCCAGCACATGCCAGCCTTGTCTGGCATCTGTGGGGGACAAAGGTCTGCTGTCCCCAGGAAGCAAAGCCACTGCCACAGAGACAAGAATAAGGACACACTGAGTGTCAGCAGCACAGCTGAAAGGCTGACTTCCCATATGTGGGGACAGAGACACAGTACCTGCTGGGGCAGGTTAAGAGTCTTCTGGGCCCTCCTGTCCATCACCCCCATTTCCTCCCTAGGACCCTACTGCTCATCTTTCTCAGATGTCTTACCACCCTCAGGGTCATCATCTCTCACTGCCCCTCTTCTGTAAATTTAAAGGACAACTATGAACCTCCCCTCAGATGCTGCAGATGGAGAAGAGGCCTCTCTCTCAGGACAGATCAGCAGGTTCTGTGTGAGTCTCAGTATTCTCCACTAGGGGGGCTGGGAATCGAAACTTACCAAAGTCACTGGAGGAACAGGATGCCAGCTGGTGGGTAACAGGATTGTAGGAGACACACTGTATAGAGTCATTGTGCCTGGAAGGTGAAGAACTGAAAATTATTCCATAGCAAACCACAAATGTCTCTATGGCTACAACTGGAGATTCAAAGCAGGCTTGAGAGGGCTGGAGTGATGGCTCAGCAGGTAAGAGCACTTATTACTCTTCCAGAGGACCAGGATTCGATTCCCAGTACCCACATGGCAGCTCACAGCTGTCTGTAACTCCAGTTCTAAAAGATCTGATGCCCTCTTCTAGCCTTTCTAGGTAAAATACCCATATACATAAAATAAATTAAAAATAAATTTAAAAAGAAAAAAAACAGAATTGAAGCCTCTGGTGACACATTGCAAGCCCCTCTCTGAGGAACCAATAGCCAGCTCAGGGACTCCTTTACAGGAGTGCTCTCCCACCAGTTCCCACCCACTCTGTATCCCACCCAACCGAAGCTCCTTCTCCTCCAGGGCTTTCCTCCTGAACCCCTGGTGGGCTTCTGAGGTAAAGACACAGAGAACCAGCTTAGTGCCCAGTGCAGACAGCATGCTTTATTCGTGGTTCTAATTGACCATTTCTGGTGGCCCAGAAATACAAGGTAGAGTATGAAGAAGACAGTGCAGGCCAGGTGCACTCCATGGCATCTCAGTTCCAGTTCCAGTCCTTCATTCTCTGGTGACACTGTATGCATGACCTGACTCACTGTTAAGCTAAAACACTGCTTGTTGTGTTCAGAGCAGCATCATCCACAGTAGGTACTAGGTGGGAGCAACCCAAGTGTCCATCAGCTCTTGGGTTATATCCAAATGGGATACAGACACACAGTGGAGTATTACTCAGCCTTAAAGAGGAAGGCTTGGGCCATGAGGACATTACACAGAATAAGTCAATCACGAAATGCCAAATACTATATGATCCCACTTATATGAGGCACCTAGAGGAGACAGACTCCTTCAGTCAGAGAGGGGAATGACAGCTGCCAGGGCTGAGATGGGGCAGAGTGGAAGGTGTTAAGCACTGAGTTTAAGCTCAGCAAGATAAAGGGTTCTGAAGACTTTACTTGCCAAAGTTTGATTGCATAACAGTGTTAATGTACATATCACCTAGTGGCAATGACACAGTTTATGTTTGGGATACTTCTCTACAACTTAAAATAACGAATGTTGTTTGTCAAGTACTTATTGTGGACCAGGCTAGGTGCCAGAAATACAAGCATGCAAAAGCAGGGGTAGTGTCTACCTTCCAGAGCCCACAGGCCAATGGGTGGCATCGCTCAATGATCAGAGTACTTAAGACCACAGCTGTAAGAAATGCTCAGGACAGGCCCTCCTGAGTCTGCAGGGGAAGGAGAAGGCTAGCAGCATGGACAGCTGCACCTGAGACCTGTAGGATGGGGGGAGGGGGCTGGCTAGGAAAGGGGGAGATTTGAGCACAGCTCCTAAGCAGCAGGAAGCTTAGAACACACTGGCTTTTCTAGCTTTTGACACTGGGCAGATGCAAAGAGGACAGGCTGGGTGAGAGGGGAGTGGCAGAGACCTGTGCTGTCAGACTAGCTGAAACACAGCTCAGTGCTGGCTAAGCTAGTTAGTGATCGTTCACTACCCACCCAACCCCATGCTGAATTCAAGTTCATCTTGGGAAGGAGAGCTCTCTGTACAGTTTCCACGAAGCTGTGGCCACAGTGAACAGCAGTCAGAGCAGAGCCCAGGTCTACAGCTGGGCACACCTGTAAACCCAGCTGCCTGAGACAGAGCCAGGGTGTAATCTTGAGGCTTGACTCATAGAGGGAGACCCTGCCTCAAGCAAGCCAAGCAGTCCGGGTTAAACTGTGACAGTGTCACGCACAGGGTCACTTACGTGTACTTTAGAATGCCTTCCAGTTTTGAGGTCCAGATAATGATGCTCTTGTCAGCAGATCCAGATGCAAAGCGCTTGCCTAAAAGGTTTTAAAAAGAAAATCATCACATGTATTTTAAACCAGCATTTTTCCAGACAGTTATGTCCAAGGAAACTAATTCTTCAAGGCACCTAACTAGCTAGGAACATAGGTCATTTAGCTATCTTGTATGCAAGAGGCCCCAGAGAAACTGGGAGTGGTAGTTAGTGTACTGGTATCATCCATCACTTGTGGTGGCAAGAAGAGCAGAGGTTCAGAGTCATCCTTGGCAACATAGTTTGAGGCCAGCCTGGACTACAAGAGACCCTGCCTAAAAAACATCTTTAAAGAGTAGTAAGTGTCCCTTTATTCTCTGCTGGTTTTTGATGCGGTGTGGGGACAGGACCTCGGGCCTACACATACTGAGCATCCTCCTCACAAAGAAGCCATAACCCTAGCCCTTCTGTTGCGTCTCATCATCCATGGGAGCAGCTTGACTTTTCCTCACTGAGGCTCGGCTACATCTATGTGCCATGTTCTGCAGTAAGGGCTGAGCAGTAATTAAAACATCAAAGCTTCATTTCCATGGTATCTGGTCCAAGAAGCAGACATTAAGTTTATCCAATGCAAATACAATATGGAAGGAGATGAGTCCTATATAGAAAGAGAGTAACTGGCAGAACTAACATTAAACTTGTCATTTTTTTAAAAAGATTTTACTTATTTTTATTTTTTTTATTTTATGTGTATGGTGTTTACCTACATGTATGTCTGTGTACCATGTACATACCTGGTGCCTGCATAGGCCAGAAGATGGCATAAGATTCCCTGAAACTAGAGTTACAGGCGGTTGGGAGCTGCCATGTGGGTGCTGGGAATTGCACCTGGATCCTCTGGAGGAACAGCCTGTGCGCCTGACTGCTGAGGCCATCTCTCCAGCTTCTCTTCACGTGTTTGTGTGGTGTGTGTGGATATGCACGTGCTCACATGAGTGTGGGGTGAAAGCTATTTTCACCCCCACTTATCGGGCATCCTCCACTATTGCTCTCCACTTATCTGTGATTCTCTCGATAGACTGCAGCTCACAGACTTAGCCCGACTAGCTGTTCAGTGAGCTCCTCTGTCCCTGCCTCCCCAGTGCTGGGAGAGCAGACACAGCACTGTGCCCAAGTTTTGTTTTGTTTTTTAATTTAAATTAGAAACAAGTCTGCGTCACATGTCAATCCCAGCTCCCTCTCCCTCCCCTCCTCCCCCATCTTCCACCAATCCCCCTCCATCCCCCCTCTGCTACCCAGGGAGGGTGAGGCCCTCCATGGGGAACTGCCAAAGTCTATCATATCATCCAGGGCAGGGCCTAGGCACTCCCTGATGTGTCCAGGCTGAGAGTATCCCTCCACGTGAAACTGGCTCCCAAAGTCCATTCATATGCCAGGGATAAATACTGGTCTACTACCAGAGGTCCCATATATTGCCGAGGCCCCCTCACTGACACCAACATTCAGAGGGGTCTGGATCAGTCCCATGCTGGCCTCCCAGCCATTAATCTGGGGTCCATGAGCTCCCCCTTGTTCAGGTCAGCTGTTTCTGTGGGTTTCACCAGCTCGGTCTTGACCCCTTTGCTCTTCACTCCTCCCTCTCTACAACTGGAATCCAGGAGTTCAGTTCAGTGTTTAGCTGTGGGTGTCTGTCTCTGCTTCCATCAGCCACTGGATGAAGGCTCTAGAGTGGCATATAAGGTAGTCATCAGTCTCATTATGGGGAAGGGCGTTTAAGGTAGCCTCCCACTACTGCTTAGATTACCAGTTGGTGTCATCCTTGTAGATCTCTGGAAATCTCCCTAGTGCCAGATTTCTCCTCAAATCTATACTGTGTGCTCAAGTTTTTATGTGGCTCCTGGAGATGCAAATTCTTGTCTTCATGCTTGTGCAGCAGGCACCTAACCCACTGAGCCATCCCCTCACCCCCGAAGTTGGATATGTTTGTGGGGTACAGTACAGCGTTTTGATACATTTAGTAAAATAATTATATCAAGTAAATTAACATATTTATCACCTTAGATACTTACATTTTTAATGATGAGAACATTAAAATCTGTTCTTTTAGCAGCTTTAAAATATATATTATTGTTTATTATGCTCACCACACCATGCAACAGATCTCAAAAACTTACCCATCCTGCTTGACTGAAACTGTGCTCTTGGGTCAGTAGTTCCTAGAGCAGCAGTTATCAACCTGTAGGTAACGACCCCCTGGGGGCCAAATGACCCTTTTACAAGGGTTGAATATCAGCCTGTGTATCAGATATTTACATTACAATTCATAACAGTAACAAAACTATAGTCCTGCAGTAAGAGGAGGACTTCAAGGCAAGCATGGGCCAGGGCTTGCACACCCAACTGCAGACGTTTATTACGTTTTTATTACTTATTTGTGTGCATGAGGGGGGCACAAAGACACCATGGTGCACATTAGGACAACTTTGGGAGTTCTCATGTGGCTCTCACTGGTCAAAATCAGGTTTTCAGTCTTGGTGGCAAAAGCAAGTGCCTTAACCTGCTGAGCCATCTCGCCAGCCCAACCCGTTGCAGATTTTCAGACTTTAGTCTTAGGGCAAGTGGAAGGTGACCTTCAGGAGCCACTGCTCCCAGAGCCTCAGTGTCCCTATCTGAAACAGAGAGGGAGCAGAAGTCCTCCCTCAGAGGCTCTGTGTGAGTCAGCTCAGACAGTGTCTGCAAGACCTTTCACCATCAGCTCATACGGGAGACTGCAGGTGAAGCCGAGGCCCTGCAGCAAATGCTGGTCGGAGAGATGCTCTGTTATCAGGTGTTCCCTCCCCCTCCCTGACCTGGTGAGCATCAGGGGATGACAAGTGTGGGCTCCAGGGCCAGAATTCTGCGTCAGAATCCCTAGTGATGTCACTAAGCAGCTATGTGACCGGAACTAGCTATAGGATACCTCCAGGCTTTCAATGCCTCATGTGAAAATGAACAGTAATAGAATTTACCTCATAGTAGATGAGAAGAAGGACATGAATGTGCACACGTGCACACACATGTAGAATGTTAGAAACAGCTAGACAGTGGTGGCACACACTTTTAATCCCAGCACTTGGGAGGCAGAGGCAGGTGGATCTCTGATTTTTAGACCAGCCTGGTCTCCAGAGTGAGTTCCCGGATAGCTAGGGCTACAAAAAAAAACCCCAACCAAAAAAAAAAAAAAAAAAAAAAAAAAATCAGAACAATGCCTGGAATAGAACTGACCTAGAAACATAGCCACTGTTATTCTTTCTTCACACTGATTTATTGTCTTCTTGAAAGTTCTTGAAAAAGGAACTCTGTTGTACACACTTTTAATCATGGTGACGCATTAATGACTTAGGAAAATTTCAGAAGTCAGAAGAAACAAGCAGACTGAAAGAGTAAAACCATAATCTCTACGTCTCTACTTTCAGATCTAAGGGCATAGACAAATTTGGAGGAACTAAGACTTCCTAATCATTGTGTGTCACAAAAAGCATGAGACACCAGGAAAACCCAGGTACGACAGGCAGAGAACATCAGTCAGGCTCTATAATTGCTCCAGGCCTGGAGCAATTTGTCCCTCTGCCAGAGGAAGTAAAAGTGCCTTTGCCGCATGCTTCAGAGGCTAAAAGAAGGGTCACATGGAACAACGTGTGACAGAGTTCTGCAGAGTGTTGACACATACCATTGCTCAACAGAGTCACAGGCAACAGGGCATCTCTCATACACCCGGGACACCCAGCAGCCCCTGAACCTTTGCTGCCTGCCACTGGTCTCCTTGGAGCATCCATCACTCTCAACTTGAACTCAGATTGCCACAGCACAGACACCTGACCACAAAGCCAGAAATGTGTGCTGTCTCTCACTAACCTGCCCCAGGACCTAGCAAGTCAAAGTTCTCCCAAAGTGAAGCAACTAGGCTAAGGCAGGCTAGAGCTGAATACACTCATATACATGAAGTACATGCATTTACTTACAGAGCATATAGCTTACAACTTTCATCTAATTCTCAAAGAAGCCTGCCATCCAAAGAAATTACAAACCTGGGTCTTAGGCTCATCTAAGCTCTGTAGCCTTTAATGTAGGGACTCCAACTGTGATCAAAGCATCCTCTTTAGTCCTACATGGGATCCAGGAAGTGACAGAGACAATAACTAGCTCAAAGTCAGGGCTGGGGCCAGAAGTTGGCTCAGCAGATAGAGACACTTGTCACACAAGCTTGGCCACCTGAGCTCAGTCCCCAGAACCCAAAGAAAAGTGGATGAAGAGAACGGTCTCTCTGAAGTTATCCTCTGACTTCCACAGGTATGTCATGCAAAATATGCCCACATGTGCCCATACACAATAATAAGACATGAAATTTTAATTTAGATCTATTTGTTTATTTTCTGTGTGAGTGTATATGTGTGTGGGCTTATGCATGCCACAGTACACATTTGGAGGTCAGAAAACAACTTACAGGAGTAGGCTCTCTCCTTTCACCAAGTGGATACCAGGGATCAAACTCAAATCAGGTTTGGTACAAATGCTCAACAAATTAACAAATAAATTAATAAAAGTCACATAGCTTTTGGGTTGGGCTGAGGTTGGAACTTCCATGGCATAACACTCTACCTACCTATCTACCATCTATTTCTCTTCATTTTACTATAATTTTTGCTGTGGAAGAAACTCGGGGTCTTGAGCAAGAGAATGCTAGGCTAGTGCTCCACCACTCAGGTATGTCCCCAGCCCACATGGATTTACTTTTAATTCACCATCTCAATTTCACACTTTCACACCAATTCTCTAACCACCTCCTCTCTGTCCCAAGCTTCCAGGTGCCCCCAGTAAAATAATCCCTCGACCCCAGAGCTACCTCCTCTCACTGCCCTTCTCCCCTTTCAGCCCATCTCCACTCATTCCAAGGTCACTGCATACGACCATTCAGCCTCTCCGCTCTGTTCTCACTTCACCTTGTCTGTAAAACTGCATCCAACTAAAACATCCCTTCTCCTCGTGATACTATGCGGCTCAGAGTGGCTGGAGAAGACAAACCACACAAAGTGATGTCACCTGCAATTCATGACTACCAGCTTCAAGTACATCCTTCCAGCCCCTGGAGGCCTCCCTGCACCTCCCAAGTCCATTCATTCTCTCACTCGCCAAAGCTGCAGCTTACTTTTCCTTTCCCTTCAACTCTAAAATCTCCTTCCCAGTCCTCACTCTCAGTTCCAATGCCTTCCATTACACTAAAACCATGAAGGAACCAGAGAGTGTCCTTTAGATCCCTACTGTCACAGGCCCCACTGTCATGCCTCTTTCTGAAGCAAAGTCCTATCTGTGTCCTTGATGCTTGCATCCCAGCAAGTTTTTCCCCTTTTCTCCATCAAGTGCAATTGTGCACACCTGAACTCTGATCTTCCACTGCAACTGCCCCACGGCAGCATTACCCAAATTGGTAGAGAGTAATTCCACCATTTAGTCATTTGGTCAAGGGCTGTGGAGTTGCCTGCAATGTTCACACTTAGACCCAACCTGACAGAAAATCCCGTCTGCTCTGTCCCCGAAGCTATTCAGAACCTAATCACTTCTCACCACTTCTTTTACCTGTCACCCCTGTCCCGGAAGATGCTTGTCACTCAGCTTCCTGTGGCTCTCATCTTTGCTAAGCTGTTTCCAAGGGAAATATAAGATAGAAATCAGATCAGACCCCTCCTCCACTGAGACCCCAACAATGGTGCTGTCTTCACTTCTTCACCGAGGGCTCTGATGACGTTGACACCATCTGGCCACCCCACACCTGTTCTTTTCTATCCCCTCTCCCATTTCTCTTCCATTCTTTTTGTCCTAGCTCCCAAGAGGAGCACTCCAGCCCAAGGGCTTCTGCAATGGCTCTTCCATCTTCAATAAGCTCTCTTTTCCCAAATACCTGATGTCAAAACCTCTCCATCTCAGGCCTGCAAGTATTTGCTCAGCTGTCCTTTCTGAATGGGCCCATCTCACAGTCATATGGGAAAATGCACCAGACCTCTGATCCACCCAGCACTCCCAATCCTCATGTTCTGTCCACTGGCCAGCCTAGCACTTAGTTACCTTATTGACTATGCTCATGCTACGTGTTCCCTGGTCCCTCCCTCCTCCCCAGCTCCCAACAAGCCCTTCATCTCTTTTGTTCTCTGAAATAAGCCAAGAACTTGAGACAGTGCCTGACAGTGGATAGCTAACAACACTAGAGTTGTAAGTCAGTGGCAGAGCACAAGGCCCTGGGCTTGGTCCCCAGCACCACAAAAGGCAAGCAAAAACATCTGTTTCAGTGAATAGCTAAAGTCTAAGCTACTTCCTATCCTCTGAGCAAGCAGGTTGTATTTTAAAGATAATTACAGAGTTCCCAAGGAGAAAGATGAGCAGCTACAAGGCCATGACAGAGACCAGAACCCAGAGAGGCCTCTTACCATCCTTTGCATACGCCACGCAGTACACAGTGTCTTTGTGTCCCTTGAGGGGCTGAAGTAAGGTGCCATCAGAGGTGTCATAAACCTGTCAAAAGGGGTAAAAATATCGATTATCTGTGTGACATCCATTATTCAAAATTCCTGCAGGGTGCTACTGCTATTTTTGTTTCTATAACACAACAGTTGTTGATTTCCTAAATTAGTATCAAGTAGAGACAGCACAGCATAACAATAATGAATATGTCTTAATGCAGAGCGAGCAGGAAGAGGAGGTCCAGCTCCATGCTCTGTGTGGCCAGGCACACACCATCAACGGTGGAGAAACAGCAAAGACACTGGTTTTCACTCCAGGGAAAGCTCTGCAAACTTCACCCATTCTCCCCACCTCCCTACCTAGTACTGGGGACTGAATCTGGGGCACTGTACAATGCCAGACAAGCCCTCTGCCTCTGAGCCACATTCCCAGCTTCTCTCCTGGTTTTTATTTTGAAACAGTGTTTGACTAAGTTGCTCAGGCTGGCTCTGAACTTCCTCTGCTGCACAGGCTGGCCTTTGAACCTTTGATCCTCCTGCCTCCACCTCTCAAGAAGCTGAGATTATAAGCCTGTGCAACCAGGCCTGGGTCAATTTCATTCATTCTGACATGGGCTTGGATGAATGACCCATCAAGGCAGGCCCTTGTTAACAAAGCCAGTACACATATAGAGCTGTGGACAGCATGGCTAACTTGTCAGGGACAACACTGCCACGGATGTCAGTACACACAGATGCATCATACTTGCTACCACGTCTCAAAGTCACAGATATAACAAACGTGGGTTTGCAAGGGGGAGGGAGTGTTATAAAACCCAGCTGCAATGTGCATTTAGGGTATTTTATAGTTGTGCAACATGGCTAAATATGTGGAGATGTAAAAAACAGAGCATCTGAGAAATGAGGACAGAGCTCTCCCACACAGGCAGAACACTGGAGAAGGAAGTCCATGGAGGGAAGTGAAAAGGATCTATGCTGTTTACCCTGGAGAGAAGTCTGCAGAATAACTCAACTACGGTTGTGAGACTATGTGGTTCACACATAGAACATGGACACCATCAGTCTGCATATCTAGACACAGCAGAGAGGACGACAGCTTACGGGAAGAAGGTCTATTACAAAGGTTTCAGGTCAAACAGAAAGAAGTCTCTGAAGATTACTCTTATGAACTAGCATAGGTTCCAGAGGGGGCCCGTGTTCTTTGAAACTATGAACAATAGGACAGCATTCATATGGAATTGTTTAGGGGCACCCGAGCCCACAAGTCAAGGCCAGCTTTCTGGCTACTCATGGAAGGATAGCCTTTAGCCTTGTTATTTCACTTTGGTCCAACAACATAAGAACTGACACCCACCCAGTTTCAAAGGCATTTTGATTAATTGTCTGCAACCATTTCATGGGTGTCTCAAAGGAAAAGGACAAATGACTCCAAAGGAGGCATTGTTCACGAGTTCCTATCTGATAGACAGTTGGCCTACCTGTTTTAAATACACCATTTCCTTCCTTATTAAAAAGGAATGGCTGGTTTTTCCGCCCTTGCCTTTTTTATCTCAAAGAAAGGGGGTCAAATTTCAGAGTACTTACAAGAGGGAGGGAGAAAAAAAGCACTCAGAATGGAAACTCAGAGAAAATCCTACCAGCAATCTGTTTCCTGCAGCCAGAATCAGTTGAGTTCCATCAGGCTTAAATGCGAGGTCGTAGATACTAACAGGAGACAAGACAAAAAAACAATTAGGAACTGAAACGATGAGGTCTGCTAATGGCCAGGAAAGCAAACTTTATTTCCATTATGAAACACTGTGTGTGTGCTGGGGGAAAAATAATAGCTAACAATTGCATCTGGTTGCAAATTCCACTCAACCACCACACCTTGGCAGAGCCCATTCAATCATGATCTGCTCGGCAGTCAGCTCCGTCCTGGTTTCCTCTCGTGCAGAAGCCAGAAATGACTCAAAGGGTCAACAGCTGAGGACAAAGGCGCTTCCAACCATTCTATGGAAAGGAGGGACACCCCAGATAAAGTGTGAGGCAGGACAGCTACCCAGATATTTACGAAGTACCTGTTAGGTACAGGGCATCAACAGACAGGGGAGTTTGGCAGATCACTCTCTACCCTCCAGGAATTTCCACTGAAATGGGAACGTATGAAGCAGACACATTGGCCAAGGACTCCTGTGGCACCAACTTCAAAGAATATGCTTTTCTAAGTGATGACATGTCAGTGAGGCATGGCATTTTTTTTTTTTTTTTTTTTTGCTTTCATACTGATATGCATGAAATGGTATTTTAAAACCAAGGCCCTCTTAGAGTGGGTGAAATAATGAGGAATACTATGAAACTGGTGAAGGAGCTGCACCAAAACTGCACTGCAGCCAGGTGTGGTGGTACACGCCTTTAATCCCAGCACTCGGGAGACAGAGGCAGGCAGAGCTCTGTGCGTTTGAGGCCAGCCTGGTCTACAAAGCAAGGTCCAAGACATCAAGGGCTGTTACACTGAGAAACCCTGTCTCAAAAAACAAACAAACAACAACAACAAAATAACAGGGGCTAGAGAGATGGCTCAGAGGTTAAAAGCACTGGCTGCTCTTCCAAAGGTCCTGAGTTCAATTCCCAGCAACCACATGGTGGCACACAGCCATCTATAATGAGATCTGGTGTCTGGTGCCCTCTTCTGGCATGCAGGCATACATGCAGGCAGAACACTGCACATAATAAATAAATAAATCTTTAAAAACAAAACAAAAAAGAATGGTGCACACCGTTAATCCCAACACTTGGGAGGCAGAGGCAGTCAGATCTCAGTGATTTCAAGGCTAGCCCTAGGTAGTTCCAGGACAGCTAGGGATGTTACACAGAGAAACCCTGTCTTGAAAAATCAAACACACACACACACACACACACACACACACACACACACCACACGCACACGCTGAAGAGGAAAACCACCTCTGTAGTGAACAGTTGCACTTTTTCCCTTATCAGTATTCCCTGACAGCACAATGTAAACGTGACTTCCACAGCATTCATTCCCATGTGATCTAGAGGTGATTTACTGCACAGCGGTGGGTCTAGGTCCTCTGCAAGTTCCCATGCAGACATTATGCTGTCTGAAACAGAGAACTTTGAGCGTCTGCCGGCTTGGTACCTTTGGGGTTCCTGAAACAACTCCCCCATGGACATGAAGGGACAAACTGGACTCTGCTTATAGATAATACACACTTTAGGCTGGGCAGGAGTCTCCCACAATCAACCAGTAAAGGGTCTCTGAAGCCTGGGCTCCTAACCCCCACTGCCTCTGCTCTCTTGGATTCCTGCCAGGTGGGTTCAATGTTTCCCTGAATGCTTTCCCAGCGGCTGACATTTATTGAGCACATGTGTTACTGTGTACAGGATACAGTTTAAATGCTCAATTGTCTAAGTTCTCTCAACCTCATAACTCTAAGCCTATCTTGCAGATAAGAGAACTACAAAGGTAAACAATTTGCCTGAAAGTAAGCTGCTACAGAGAATAAGTGAAGCCAGGATTCCAATCCCAGCAACCAGACCTTAAAGACCATGTGTCAACCCTCCCTCAGTCCTTGTAGCCTTCCTTAATGCTGTTACATCATGGTTGATGAAGTAATCCACAAGGGTTTTCTTGCCTTCTCAGAAGACCCCCCAAAGGTATTACCATTTACACAAGGCATTCCATGTAGAATTTAGAAAGTAGCTTACAAATAATAATTGTGCATATAGTGCATATGTTTATATAATATATAAATATAATATGTATTACAGAAAGCTAATAAATGTGTCTAGCAACTCGACTTATCATTTACTTCCAGAGACATTAAAAATCTACCCATGTAGTCATTTTGAAACATACAATGAATAGCCGTGGCCCTCATGTGGCTGCTGAAATGTATTCCTCCATTCCAACTGAGCCCCAGAGCCCTCGGATGACTACCTCCCTTTCCTCATCCTTGTCCGCAGTTGCGGTTTGTTTGATTTACTTCTTGTGTCTTTGTGTGAGTGTGCGAGCATGTGAGAAGGGGACACCTTTCAGGAATCAGTTCTCACCTTCTACCATGTTGAGGCAGAGGCCCTCTTGTTTCTGCCGTGTGGTGAATCACACCGTGTAGTGCATTCCAGGCCTATGAGCTTCCGGTGATTTTCCTGTCTCACCTCAGGAACTCTGGGATAACAGATGTATGTTACCAAATTCTTTACATGGATTCCAGGGATCAAACTCAGATCATTAGGCTCGTGTAGCGAGCACCTTTATCTGTAAAGCATCTGACCAGCCCTTATTTGATTATTTGTTCGTTTTGTTTTGTTTTTTGAGACATAGATCTGTCTACACATATCCCTGGCTGACCTGGTGCTAGCTATTTAGCTCAAATTGGCCTCAAACTCCAGGCAATCCTCACGTCTCAGACTCTGAATTAAAGGCAGACATGCAACAATGCACCTAGCTTTACACCCTTGGCCTCTGAATACTCCCCTTCTATACCTCTGGAGTGAGTACCCTTTCTATGTGTCTGTCTACTTAAGATTCCACCCACGACATCATACATCACAGGCTACTGACTCTTGGATGATTCCTTGAATAAAAACTCTTTACACTTACTAACAATTGAGAGCTGTGACAGAGAAAGCTTATGTTACCCCACAGGCGCATACCATAGCACAATGGAGCACACAGGACAGGCCCACTGAGGAAACTGAAGGATACATAGACACTGTCTTCTGTTGCACAGCTGGCTGATGGGCTTCCCAGCTTAGCATACTGCATAGAATTAAATCCTGGCCCATGTTCTACATTGTCCTTCTTCACTGCTACATGGTAGCAGGCCTGGGCTTCTTCCTTGTTTCAAATGTCCTTGACATGTTTCACTTTCAAAGAAGCAAGTAGTAGACTGAAAAGCAGAGAGGAGCTCAGACCAGGAAAGCTCACCTATCTGAATTTCATTTTTTAAAAAAAGATTTACTTATCACGTACACAGTGTTCTGTCAACATGTATGCCTGCATGACAGAAGGGAAAATCCAGATCTCATTATAGATGGTAGTGAGCCCCCATGTGGTTGCTGGGAATTGAACTCAGGACCTCTAGAACAGTCGGTGCTTTTAACCACTGAGCCATCTCTCCAGCCCCTGAATTTCACTCTTACCTATAAAGTGTGGTAGAGAGCTACTCTCCTAACAACAAGGGTCTTGGGCCAGCCTTGTATAAAGTGCCTGGCATCTGTGTATCTTTATGAGGAGACATTAGCTTGGAATGGATTTGCACCTTTCATCTAGTCCTTGCTGTGGCTCCCTTTCCCTCCTGTATACATGCAATCTAGCCATAATGATTCTTAGACCTCTTTTCCAAGAGCTATCTGTGGGTGAATTAGTTTTATTCATGTTTGTCTTGTTTGTTTGTGGGGGCAGGGTCTTCTTACTCTGGTCCAGGCTGACCTAGAACCCTTATAGCCTAGACTAGCCTTGAACTTAAGTGCTCCCCCTCCCAAATGCTGGGATACAGACATGAACCCCCTCACCTGGCGTTTTTGCTGCTGTCTTTGAAACAGTCTCACACAGCTCAGTCTGCTCCCAAACTCGATGCGAAGCTCAAGTAGCTCAGGATGACCTTGAACTTCTTTTTCTTTTTTTTAGATTTATTTATTTATTTTATGTATATAAGAGTCTATATACATGTACAACTTTATGCCAGAAGAGGACATCAGACCTCACTGTAGATGGCTGTGAGTCATCATGTGGTTGCTGGGAATTGAACTCAGGACCTCTGGAAGAGCAGTCAGTGCTCTTAATCACTGAGCCACCACTCCTGGCTTCAAATCATTTTTATTATTTATTTATTTATTCATTTGGGGAGGCATGAAAATGCCATGGTTCATTTGTGGTCAGAGGACAAGTAGCAGGAGTTGGTTCTCTCCTATCATGTTGGTCCCAGGGATGAGTTCATCTGACTCACCAGCAAGCACCTTTACCTACTCAGCCACTCAAGTTAAGGGTCTCATTTGGGCTAAGTCTAAACAATCCTCTCAGATGGGAAGGTTCACTTTCTGGATGCCCTAAAATGTGCTTTCTTAAATTACAGCATATACATCTAATTTCTGATTAAGAGTCACCCAACATGGGTGCTGGGAACCAAACATAGGGCCACTGGGAGGAAGAGCAGCAATTGTTCTGCCTGACTTGCTCCGTTTTCACTCCTGCTGCACTCGGAATCCAAACAACCCAGCTTCACTCTCAAGCATTGTCTTCTGAACCTGACTATTTCATACTATGCCTCCTTAATACAGCCATCTGCAGCTCCAGGGGCAATGACCAAGTTTTACAAGTTCTAAATACTAACCATAACAGGCAACCTGCCAGGATTTTATGTTTAGACCCCTCCCTCAGGCTTTAATGATATTACGACATCACAGAATCCCCAAATTGGAAAGCACTCAGACTTTCACCCAGCCAACACCTCACCCAGGGCAACACCTCACCCAGGGCAAATGTTCTTTCCACACAGCCATCTAGCCTCAGCCGGCACACTCCAGGGCCACACTTCCTGTCCACTGACAGTCTATGCTACCACGGCAGGCTCTTTCCCAACTCTTCTTTGAAAAAGATAAACTTTCAAACCTACATGATGAGATTTCACTGCTGAGAGATGAGAGGTGAGCCCTGCCAACTGTCCTCTACATACTGAAGTCCCAAGGTGCTCTTC